CCTCCCATCAGATGTCAAGGAGATAAACAACTATCTGACTTTTAGAAGACATCTGAAGGCAGCCTGTTTAGGGAAGTTTTGAATGTCTGATGCTGTATTTTTTCCAGCAACTGGGATTCAGAAGCATGGCTGCCTCTAGACTGTGGAGCCAGAGCAGAGTCATCGATAGCACCAGACTGGGAGAGTGTGTGTTAGACACCCATGGGAGCAGCATTCCCATAAAATGCCAGCTTGTGCCAGTATGCAATGCACCAACAGTATGCAATGCACCACCTGGAGCCGGTTGCAGCAAACTCCTGCCCACTTAAAAGGTTGCTCTTCTGCCACACCCTTCTCATTCCCCAGCCACACAGCTGCTGCTGCACAGGAAAGAAACCATCTCTGTCGTTAAGTATCTTCCTGCAATCAGGACAGTGCCGGATTTACGTATAAGCTAAACAAGCTACAGCTTAGGACCCCACCATCTTGGGGGCCCCAAATTTTTTTAAAGGAAAAAAAAATCTGGATGTACATTTCCAAAATATAAGATAAAAATAAAACCTACATCCAGCAAGAGTGTTTTGTGTTGTGTAGGCTCTTATGATGTAAGTCATGGGCGCTGCCTGCTAGCCTGCTCCCTAAAACATCACTGGTTTGCTCCTTTCTATATATAGGGTGCCTACGTTCTGCATGGACTGGGTGCATGGCAACATGGGCAAATGGTTTGAGATACCTATGAGGTCCATAAATGGCCTGGACTGACTCCAGCTGCAAAAGATGAGGCTGCAGAACAGACTCTTGCCCCAGGGTATTGTTTGGAGGGTCTTGTGGTGGGGATGGTTGCTGGCTGTGTGCAGTGCCAGATTTATGGATAAGCTAAACAAGCTATAGCTTAGGGCCCCACTCTCTTGGGGAGGACACAAAAAAATTTAAAGAAAAAAAACCTGGATGTTATTTTCCAAAATAGAAGATAAAAACAAATAAAATAAAACCTACTTACACAGTGTTTTGTGTTGTGTGGGCTCCTACGATGTAAGTCATGGGCCCCGTCTGCTAGCCTGCTCCCTAAAACATCACTGGTTTGCTCCTTTCTATATATAGGGTGCCTACATTCTGCATGGACTGGTTTGCAACATGTGCTTTAGATACATAGATAGATAATAGGCTTTAGATACCTATTAGGTCCATAAATTAAAAAGGTACCCCTGCCCGTACGGGCCAGTCTTGACAGACTCTAGGGTTGTGCGCTCATCTCACTCTAGAGGCCGGGAGCCAGCGCTGTCCGCAGACACTTCCGGGTCACGTGGCCAGTGTGACGAAGCTGCTCTGGTGAACCGGCACCAGAGCAGCACACGGAAACGCCGTTTACCTTCCCGCTATAAAGCGGTACCTATTTATCTACTTGCACTTAAGGGTGCTTTCAAACTGCTAGGTGGGCAGGAGCTGGGACCGAACGATGGGAGCTCACCATGCGATCGGCAAGTCCTAGGCGCTGAGGTTTTACCCACAGTGCCACCCGCGCCCCTTTTGAGACTCCTTAGGGTAGTGATAAAGCGGGATATCAAATCCAAACTCTTCTAATCAGACACCAGGTGAAATAAGCATGAGAAAATTCAAACTCTTCTTCCCCTCATTCTCAATTGCAGAGGTTCTCAACCTGTGGGTCCCCAGATGTTGTTGGACTACAACTCCCATCATCCCTGAGCTCTGGCCTTGCTAACTAGGGGTGATGGGAGTTGCAGTTCAACAACATCTGGGGACCCACAGGTTGAGAAAGGCTGATTTAGAGACAAGGAAAGACTATGACAACTTTGAGAATGACTGCTCGGGACTTGTGCTTTAGTTGCTGTCACCCCCTCTGTTGTAGCAGCAAACACCCCAGAGGTTTAGTCCTATTTGTAGAACAGAATTAGTGTAATCAGGTATGTGATCTAGAAACAGCCCTTAGCAACTGAGCAATACAGAAAGAGTGCAGTTCCAGTTGTGCGAAAGTATATACTATTTGTTCTTGAGGCATATCAGTAGCTAAGCTGAGAGACTTGGGCATCTTCGTACTCCCAATTTGCCTCTGGAAGTTTGAGCAGTAGCCAGACCAGACATTCATTATCCCCCTTTCAAAATATGGCCCTGTGGAGTGGTAGCAGTGGCCACGTCTGTTAATTAAGGCTACTTTTTGTCTTGTGAAAAGTGACCCCAGGAATGTCTTGGACTCCTGAGCTCAAAAAAGCCTAGCCCAGACTGCTTCTGTAGTTAAGGATAGGCTTGGCCCATTCTCTAGCCTGGCCCCCCCCCCCCCCATGGATGTGTGCCTTATCAGTATTTTGGCTGCTCTCTACTCACAGATCACCTGCCCACAGTAGTTGGCATCTGTGTTCTCTCAATCCTGGTTATGCCTCATTTCCCAAACTTCACAAGCTTTCGTGTCCTAATCTTTCTACCAACAGCTCCTCAGATCCCTGAAGTTTTCTTCTCCTTCCCCTAAGCTTTCTCCTCCCCACCTGCTTCATCAGACTACAATCCACATCCTCGGTCTTGTTTACTCTAGGAGGGAGCCAGGCAAACTCAACACCCCAGGCGACAGAAGCCTTAAGAGATCCCTAAGTAAGATTTCCTTCTACGTACAAATCAAGTGAAATGGCGGCAAAGAAATGAGCATCGTTTCCTGGTCCTGAAGAGTTCTCCCTGGTGAACGTGCACATCTGGAAAGGTTGCAGTATCTTCAAGAGCAGAAAGAAGGAGAGTGAGGTGCATGAGTGAAGAGGAAGGAACAAGACTTCTTGAAAACATCATACTCAGTCCAGCATTCAGCTCAGCCAGCTGCCCACGGTTGATTAAGCCAGGCCTCTGCGCTCTTCAAGATGCCAATGGCAGGAGGCAGCAAGGGTGAGAGATGTCAGCTGCTTCTTACTGATGCAAGTATGCATCGAGCCAGAGCTCTCCTGAATCCTTCAAGAGAACTGGAACGAGGATAAAAAGGGTCAAGTCAGGAAACATGAAGAAACAAAACCAGAAAAGAGATTCGATATTGAGCCAGGGCACTATAGTCATTGGAGTGAGCATGTTACGATAAGAAAAAACCCGTAATAGAGCAGCAAGGGGGCGGGGGGATGGCATTAAAAGCACAAGGAAGGATGCAGCACCCTCTCATGGAGAGAGCCACAGGGCTGGTTCACACATGCAGGCTCACCACCTGATTGCTGCAGCAAATGCTGTACGAATGAGCCATTCCAGGTGAGACAGGACAGAACTTTCAAGTCATCTCAGAGCAGTTCTTTTCAGTGGGCTCAGTCTGCACACTTTGTCTGCAAGTTTTTGAGGAGCCAAGCAGTCAAAGAGATGCAGTAGGTATGTGTGAACTAACCCACAGAGCTCAGAATCCACAAATGCTTGTTTCGACTTTGCCACCATGCTCTTGCAAAAGCTCAGGCAAACTACTTTCACTACCTATTATTATTATTATTATTATTATTAAATTGACTATTAGCTTTTTTATTAAAAGCAAACTCAAAGAGACCTTAAACTATGTACATAAATTAACATTAATATCAACAGCCTTCCCAATTAGCTTTCCACCTACTCTGTGCTCATTCAATGAAGGCTGTCCATTTTTCTGGGATGTGCATATTCTACAGACCTCCTTGCATACTGCGCAGGAGTTATGCTCTAATCATGCACTAAGCTCTGTGTTGTTGTTTCTAAGCCTTATGGTCAGATAGGAATATTTGAAGGGGGACAACCAAAACACGGGCAGTGCCAACATTTTCAAACTCCCCCAACCTGCGTTCAAGCTGCTTTTTAACAACGGCATTAGATTCCAGTGGTTCCAGTATCTATTTCTATTGGCTGCTTCTGGCAGAGCCTGATGAGAGTCTTCTGCTGGGTGACACATTTCCCATCCCTGACTTATGTGTGTGCATCTACTTTGCATAAACTTGGCTCAGAAATGTTCCGATTCCTTCGCACCAAGTTTTGATGTGTTTTTAGGAGGAGGGCAAGCAGAATGTATGCAGCCCTGATTATGATTTCTAGAACAATTAAGAGAGTGCTGAAAACTCTGAACGTTAACAAATATTGTTTCCTCGGGGCATTCTTCCCAGCTATCTGTTTGCATTATTGGAAGCAATGGCTGGAGACTGGCGGTCCCATATTATTCCGCCCCCCTTCCCTTTTCTTTTTGTGCCCTTTCACAAGATGTCGGTCTGATGTCTCTCCCCTCACAGGGGAGCTATCCTTCCTCCTGGAACTTGCAGGGGGTACTGGTGCTTTTCACATTCACTGATACTTACTGTACAATGTCTGCAAAGGCTGTGAGCAGAGGCTTGGACTGGTACTCGATGCCGTGCTTTGCGCATAGGGACTTCACCAAGGGGGTCACCTTGTGGAAGTTGTGTCGAGGCATGGTGGGGAAAAGGCTGTGGAGAGAGGGAGAGAGGCAGCTGCCAGATCTCATGGCTTCCTAAGAGCTCTAGAGAGCCTTCTTCTTCCTCCCAAAATCTCATTAGTGTGTGTAATACTTCTTTGTGAAGCTTGCCCGAGCCAAATAATCACTTACAAGCTTAATGATTTCTTCAGTAAACAACTGTTGCAGAGGGCCTTATCCTAAAATTATAATCATAGCATTGGGTCCTCTTGCATTGCCAGCTTAAGCTTATCATGTCCTGGGTGCCTCCCTGGTCCAAGGCTGTTTTCACACAGGAATTCAACTTCGTAATATCCCTTGTCCAGCTCTGCTTCCTCATTACAGTGGTACCTCAGGTTACAAACACTACAGGATACAAAGTCCGCTAACCCGGAAGTAGTACTTCAGGTTACGAACTTTGCCCCAGGATAAGAACAGAAATCATGCGGCAGCGGTGTGGCGGCAGCAAGAGGCCCCATCCGCTAAAGTGGTACCTCAGGTTTAAGAACGTTTTCAGGTTAAGAACGGACCTCCAGAACGAATTAAGTTCGTAACCCGAGGTACCACTGTATACCCAAAAGCCTACCCACGTGATGCTTCAGCAGCAGCACGTGAAGCCCTACAAGCTCAGTTGTCCACATGACTGAATCACATGTATACCATAAAGGACTCCAGGCTCTTGAATTGTTAGGTTTCTCATGAGGCCTCCATCCTGTTCAGCCCCCTACAAGGTCACTCACTACTACAGCATGAAATAAGCCTCTAGGGGAAATAGATCCCATTATTTTTCTAGGCTTCATATTAGTTGATATCCTCAAGACACCTTCCAACTGGTGAAAAAAAGAAGAATATACTCACTGGTGCTCAATTTGGAAGTTGAGATGCCCACTGAACCAGTCGTTGAACAGGGACTGGTCTACGTTGCATGTTGCCTGGAGCTGGAGAGAGAGAAAATATATTTAAAAGGCACCACATGAGGATATTCATGTTTCAGTTCTAGCTAGACACCCCAATGAACTGTGGCATACCCTCATCTCCCCATCCTGGTCCTTAGAATAAGAACAACAATAATAAATAGCTGGACCTAACAACTGGGAGCAGTTTACCTATGAGATCGCCTTGCCCACATGGGCCCACTTGACCGCAGGGCTGTACAATATATGCCTGTGTGAACGCTGGCAAAAAACTTCAACACCTCATATACCGTATTTTTCACTCTATAAGACGCACCTTTCCCCTCCTAAAAAGGGGGAATGTGGTGTGCGTCTTATGGAGCGAATGCAGGCTGCACAGCTATCCCTGAAGCCAGGAGAGGGAGAGGGATCGGTGCGCACTGATCCCTCTCACTCTCCTGGCTTCAGGGACAGCCACACAAAGCCTCAGGAGCGCTCCTCCCCTGCGCTCAGGAGGCTTTCCCGTTCTCCTGGCTTCAGCGAACCCTCTTCAGGGCAATGGGAGGAACGCTCCCCCTGCCCTGAAGAGGCTTGGCATGGCTATCCCCAGAAGCCAGAACAGTAAAGCGGGATTGCTGCTTTCGCTGCGCAACGATCCTCTTGCTGTTCTGACTTCGCTTCGCTGGAGAGGCGCTGCGCAGAGAGGGAAAGCTGCACAGTGCCTCTTCAGTAAAGCGGGAGGAGAAACAGAGCCCCTTCCGTTTCTGCTCCCGCTTTGCTGGAGAGACGCTGCGCAGAGAGGGAGAGAATATTTTTTTCTTGTTCTCCTCCCTAAAACTAGGTGCATCTTATGGTCGGGTGCGCCTTATAGAGTGCAAAATTCGGTGCCTTCCCAGTTCCCATGTCAACCACAGAGGGTCAGCACAGAGGTAACACCATTATTGCCTGACTTCTGGGCCCAAATGTGGAGCATGTGAGCAGCACCCCACCCACCCATGACAAATCGCATGTTCAAAATAATGAATGCAGTGAGAGCGGTAGGAAGGATGGATTAGGATTTCACTGGACATGGGACTCAACCTGATGGGGCCTTCAAGCAGCAATAATTGATGGACGTTCCATGTGTTTACACAAGAGGTATAAAAAGTTCTGGGTCAAGAAGACTCTTGCAAGCATTCATGTTATTCCTTTTCTAATCTTCTTTTACTCCCACAGCCTGTCCTCTTCACCCCAACCCATTATTGGTATTCCACAATTAGTTCTTACATACAGTTACACCCAACCCTTCCAGTCACTCAATTATACTTCAGCTCCTAAGATAAGACACCTCCTGTATAAGCCTCATATTCATGATCATAACTGCTGGAATCGTTGTGCACATTACTGGGTTGAAAGCCAGTCCACATTCTTGTCATAATCAATGTTCATTGGATGTGGGTTCATTTGTGTCACCCAGACAAACCAGTGACTCTCTATAAATCTGCACAAAGCACAGAAGTAAATTATTGTGTTTCCATCCAACCAAACCCACACAACCTATTGATAAGATAAGGTAAGATAAACTTTATTCGCATTAGCCAACAGCCATAGCAACATAAAAGAAGCAATATATACAAATAAAATATATACAAATAAAAAAAAGCAATGGGTAAAAGGGCAATCAAATGACCAAGATTATCATTCAGATAGTGGCCTTAATCTCATTGCACCCTTGATAAACCTAGCAAGGTTTGCTGTTGTCTGATCATTTTGATCTGATAAAAGAAAGAACAACATGGCCTCAGATGGGTGGCCTGGGATGGTACGCAAGAGTGGGGTAATGATCTCATTCCTCAGATCTTTATAAAGGGGACAGGACAGGAGAACATGAGCCACTGTTTCCAGATTACCATCTCCACAGGGGCAGAGTCATTTCTCAGTTGGAATCTTTTGGTATCTGCCCTCAAGTATGGCAGAGGGCATCACATCCAATCTGGCCAGTGTGAAGGCACGTCTGTATTTTGAGATAGTTAATTTATACAAATATGGTGCCAGGGAATCAAACTGAGAAGGGGGGAAAAGGCATACCAAGGACAGAATTTCTTTATAATGGCCAGATTTTTCTGCTGCTCTAAGTCCTTCAGACGCTGTCCAATTAGCCTTTTTGCTATAATAAAGCTTATCATGAGACGCTGATGTGGGTGGAGTCCACAGGATAGGAGTTTTTGGTGCACAATTTTAAACCACGCACTTTTATGGGGGTCTTGTGTCAATAAGGGCAATAAGGGTGGATTTAAATTTAGAGCCAATAATTAAGAGTTTTTTGCGAGGACTGAGCTTCTGCAGAGGGAAGACTTGCCTCTGTATTGAACCTATTGAAAAGCACCAATACTTGACTGAAACCGTTTGGTTTTTTAAAAAACAACAACACACACCCCTTGAAGGGGAGTAGAGAGCCGCAATCCAAACAATATCAAAACCACACCAAGCAAAGGGAAACTAATCAGGTGAGAAAAGATGTAGAGGAAGGGTGAAGATTAAAACTATATCGTTTTCTCTTAGCGAGAAAGGGGTTTTGTTGCTGTTGTTTTAGAAAGTATGTTCAACATTAGTCGATACAAATCAGTAAATCTTAAACCTCATTTATGGCTGGCGTATGGCAGTGGGATCCATTCTTCTGGTGCAAGCTTGTGAGTGCAATCTAACTGACTGTGAGAGCAGGCTCTGGGAGGGGTGGCTACTTCAAGTTAGTATTGCAGGAACAAAATACCTGCTGCTATGGTGGGCAGAGGGATGTGGATAGGTAGAGCCCAGACTGCTGTGACCCTGGGGAAGGTTCAATGCATCTGTGCATGCAGAAACACAGTGTGCATGCATGTTTGCGCACACACTATGGGGCCCTTCTCAATGCATGGCTCAATATCCTGGAAAAGTTCTGTTTTTTGACCATGCCAGAATGTGGCGCTGCAGTGCAAACAAATGTCTTTGACTTGCAGAGACTATATGGTAACCCCAAATAATCAGTTATGGTGAGGGTATGGATCCAAATAAAACTCACCTGAGCAGAAAGAAGAGACCAAGGAGACCCTTCAGTTCCAGTAGGTATGAGTAAGTCAAAAAGAAACGGATGTAGAAAGTCACCATCCAGGCCAGATCCTGTCGCAAAGGAAAGGATGAATGCTCTGCAGAAGGCCATGTCATAGTGCTGCAGACCTGCCCCACCAATTTACTCATGTAGGGCACCAGTCTCAGAGGCCACCTATGCCGTCTCCTATCACTAAACCTGTGCTCGCCCTCAGTCTGATATATTGCAAAGGTAACAGTCCAGATACCTCCCAAAGCTATTTTAAGTGTCCACATGCTTAAACCTGTCTCGGTCAGGAAGTTTCTTATACGAATTCCTGTTATTCCTCATCTAATCTTTCACTCCCCACATCCTGCCCTCTTTCTGCCCACCCAGGCCCAATTCAGAGTGTTGAATTTGACCTATAAAGCCTTAAATGGCTCAGGACCCAAATACCTCAAGCATTGGCTCTCCCCATACAAACTGACCTAGGCCCTGCGATCATCGTCTAAGGCTTCATGTGTCTCCTCCATGAGAGGTCCAGAGCGTGGCAACATGAGAATGGGCCTTTTCTGCAGTGGCTCCCCATTTGTGGAACGCTCTCCCTGGGGAGGTTTGCCTGGCGCCTTCATTACATATCTTTAGGCAACAGGCGAAAATGTTCCTTTTCAACTAGGCCTTTTGCTAATTAAACACTCTATGGCCTCTTAAATATGTTGGGGTTTTGTTTTGTGCTATCATTTTATGAATTTTGTGTTTTTATGTTGTAAACTGCCGGGTGATCTTCAGATGGAGTGTGGTAAATAAATTTAAAAAATGATAATAGCAATAGTAATAAAGTGTAAGTTTAGAAAAGTGCAAGCTTAGCCAGGCTTAAAGCAGGTCATACTCTTTGGCTCCCAGAGGATCCTAACTATTTCCCCTTAATTTATATTTATTTAGGCATTTCTATACTACCCAACGAACTGTGTCCTTTGGACAATTCAACTCTTCTTCGCCATTCCCCTGATACCATTGCCCACCCTTTAAGATTGTGCAATCCACACCTCTGATTTGCTCACCCTTGTGATAACTACTGCTATAATAGGTTTTAATAGGGCTGGATTTCAAGGGAGCCCATCTCTGTGATCAGGTAATATCCATTTATATAAATCTATAACCTGGAGCTGAAAAGGGGCACTGCATCTCAGGAACTGAACCATAACTCTTGAAGAGGTCATTCTGTTGCGAAATCGCAGTTCTTCAGCTCTAATGTAGCAATTGACTGTCTGAGGTTAAACTTTAACCGGAAAAACCTAGCGGCAAACTAATTTAGAAAGAGGAAAAACCTAAACTGAGAACGGCCCAGTGTAGAGGAAATGTTAGCATAAACACTGAAGAGTAGCTTTAAGTCATCAGTTCCAGTTCATTTATTTTTTAAAGAATGAAAGTGCAGTGTTGCAGCCTCAGCGACAAAGAGGCTAGGAAAACAGAAAGCAGGTAAGCTAAGCGACTTGTGTGAGTTTAGCGACATGGCTATGTGCTAAAAATCTCCCCTCTCTACAGCAAGTTTACAAACCAAATCCATAGTTTTGCCTTCTTCTTTTTCAGACTGAAAGACAGTATTTTTGGGGGGAAACAGGGAAACCAAGTATGGGTGTGAGAGATATGTAGAGTCCTACAGAGTGTCCCATTGACAAACGTCTGGTGCAAAGAGCTCCTAGCTCTCATGGAACAAGTCTGTTCCGTTGATGCCAGGGCAGCTGATCTGGGGAAGCTGGGCTCAGGCATACTCACCGCCCATTGTTTGCGCTGGACAACAAAATAGAAGATGTACCACTGCAGGTAGAAAGGCACCAGAGCTGGTGGTCCAACTAGGGAAGAATTCAGAGAAACATTCTTAGTTGGCTCAAAAGAAATGAGTGGCCCATCTTCTCCACACAAACCTACTCAGCTCATATTCTCTAGGTGCCCCTGCAATCTTGAATAGGGTAGGAGAAACAGGCTTTTCAGTTGTGGAACCCCTCCTGACAGCACAGTTTCCTCCAAGAGGTTTGACACGTACCCACTCTTGCTGCTTTTTGTTACCAGGTGAATGCATTTTTATTTTCCCAAGTTTTCCTTCTGCCTCATAGTCTGAAATTGTATTATTTCTGATGTTCCTATTATCTTTAATCTTCTAAAAGGGTAAAGGTAAAGGGACCCCTGACCATTAGGTCCAGTCGTGACCGACTCTGGGGTTGTGGTGCTCATCTCGCTTTATTGGTCGAGGGAGCCGGCGTACAGGTCATGTGGCCAGCATGACTAAGCCACTTCTGGCGAACCAGAGCAGTGCACGGAAACGCCGTTTACCTTCCCACCAGAGCGCTACCTATTTATCTACTTGCACTTTGATGTGCTTTCGAACTGCTAGGTTGACAGGAGCAGGGACTGAGCAACGGGAGCTCACCCCGTCACAGGGATTCGAACCGCGACCTTCCGATCAGCAAGTCCTAGGCTCTGTGGTTTAACCCACAGTGCCACCTGCGTCCCTATCTTCTACTGCCTCTTTATTCTGTGTTTTTTTCTCTTTGCTTTTAATATGGTACTTTAATTGTTTTAAACTACGTTTTATTACCCAATAACCATTCTGGAAGCAGAAATACTGACGGGTAAGATACACCTTTTAAAATAATAGGTGGATAGATAGATAGATAAATAAATAAGAGCTAGCATCGGCTGTGTTGGGATAGTCTTGTAGCACAAGACAGAAAGACAGAAAGCATCTCCCACCCTATTGGGAAACACTGGAAGCAAAATTAATCATTATAATGGCAAACAACCACAGAAGAAACTAAAAAAATAATAATAAGGCACTGAGGGGGAACTCTACATTTTGCAAGTTTTCCCCCCTTGTGAGCAATACTTTGGCTCAGTTGTAATAAATTTTCACTCCCCTGGGTCACCTATGGAAAGTAAGAATCACCTACAAGTGACCAAGCACAAAAACCTTCTTTTCTACTGCAAGGTTTGTTCCTGGATTCTGCATTCTGCAGATGACTAGCTTAGATACCTACAGGAAAGCAAACTACTAAAACTTCTTGTGAGATGGCAGCTTTTGTGGACTTCTGATAAAAAATCATGTGGTAAGATCCTAAGAAGAGCTGTGCTGGATCAGACCAAGGGGCCACCTAGTCCAGCATCCTGTTCTCATAGTCGCCACCCAAATGCCAGTGGGAAACCTGCAAACAGGATATTAGTGCAACAGCTGCTCCCCACTTGCGCTCCCCAGAAACTGGCAGACATACGGCCTCTAGTACTGGACATAGCACACAGCCTTGCCGTCCATAAATTTGCCTAAAACCATTTCTGAAGCTATCCAAAAAGCCATTGCAGAAAAGAAATTATACTCACGGATAAAGAAGTATTTATGCTGGTGATTATAAGGCATGTACTTCTTTTTCTTTACACCAAGCTGTAAGAGGGAGAAAATGATCACAAAAAGTGCTATAGATTGATGAATCAGTTTACAGTGGTACCTCTGGTTGCGAACAGGATCCGTTCTGGAGGCCTGTTCGCAACTGAAAAGAACGCAACCTGCGTCTGTGCACGCACGGGTTGCGATTTGCCGCTTCTGCGCATGTGCATGATGTCATCTTGCGCATCTGTGCGAGTGCGAGCAGCGAAACCTGGAAGTAACCCTTTCCAGTACTTCTGGGTTGCCGCGGGACGCAACCTGAAAACGCGCAACCTGAAGCAAACGTAACATGAGGTATGACTGTATTTCCACTTTCATTTTTGCATGATTTTGTCCCTGTCTGTTCCATTTCTGCATTACTCTAGTCTTCTCAAATACACAAAAAATACACACAAACACTTATTTGAATATGCATTTCTAAATATATTTTCTCTCAAATACATGTTAACTTATGTTGATGATTATTTTTTTAGCTGAGAGCTATGCTCAAACATTTGGAAAGGGCACAAGCTGGTGGAGAACAAAGTTCTGTTCCACATATTCATCCAGGAGGTGAAGAGGGGCAACAGAATTCACAGATCTCTAATTTGTCAAGCATCCTTATTCCAAGTCAAACCACATGATCAGCATATACCAGAACCCCTCTTCCCAATACAGTTGTACTTTGGAAGTTGAACAGAATCCATTCTGGAAGTCCGTTTGACTTCCAAAACATTTGGAAACCAAAGCGCGGCTTCTGATTGGCTGCAGGAAGCTCCCGCAGCCAATCGGAAGCCACAGAAGCCCCGACAAACATTCAGCTTCCAAAAATAGCTTGCAAACCGGAACCAAAACGTTTGAGAACTAAGCTGTTCAAAAACCAAGGTACGACTATATGCTAATTTTGTGCGTGCACTGAGCTTTTGATATGGGAAAGTACTGAAACATTCAATCTCTCACCTATAGTTTGAAGTGATACAAGGGAAGGGACCTTGCTCAGTAGTAAAGTGAGCAAAATGGTCAATTACTGGCATTTCCCAGCCAGGGTTGGAAAAGCCTCCTGTCTGAAATCCTGGAGAACTGCTGCCCATCAGAGTAAATAATAGTCAGTTAGATCTGGTCTGGCTCAGTATGCGATGCTTTCCTTTGCAAGTTCAATATAGATTACATGAGTCAGTGGATGATAGGCTTCCAAAATGGGACTGTGCCACTTTTCCCAACCCTGGAGGCTCTGCCCAGAGGCAGACTGGCTAATTGCTTGCTCTTCATTGGCCCGATTCCTCAAGTCTTTCTAGCAAACCGCCACAGTCTGGCTACCTGATCAATGGCTGAGCCCTTGCTGTGCCTGCCCTGCAGCTCCACCTGCTGCTCACTCCAAACCTTTCTGCATTCAACCCTGTTTGCAATTTCTGTCCACCTCCAACCAAAAGCACAAGAGCATCAGGTTCTGTTCTTTTTGCAACATACCCCTTTGCATTTTCAGACCCGGCCCTGGGCTCCCTCCTCACCACTCCCTCCTTCTTCCCCAGTTTCTTCACGCAGCCTGTGCAAGCTCCCACTCCCTCACTGCTGCTGCTGCTTGTCATTACTAGGAATATTCATGATTCAGAAGGCACTTGTAGGGAACAACTAAATAAGGAGAAGAATGCATTGTACACTGAAGTAGCTACAAAAATGGATAAGGTCAAGATGGAGTGAATCAGGCTAGACCAAAAGCAATTTAGCCAACAGGAATTAATTCCAGACTGATGAAACAAACACTTGGGTCCTGACCACCCAGAACCAGGGCCAGTGCTGTCATTAGGCCAACTAGGCAACCACCTAGGGCACAGACCTGAGATGGGTGCAGTTCTGACCTTTTAATACAGATTAGTTTTTGTTATATCTTATAAATTTCTGATAGTATTTTATTTTTGTTTTCTATTTTGTACATAGTTTCTCAAAGCTCAAACTTACAGAAACTTACACGGGCTCAACAACATTGCAAAAGAGAGTAGTTGGCTTGGCAACTATATGACTTGAAAACATGAGACTTATGGTTTTGTTACATATGATTTTATTTTGGAGTTGTCTGTTTATTTTGGAGTTGTTTGTTGTAAACAATGCATGTTGTGTGAATAAAATACGTAATAAAGGATTTGAAAAAAGAAGAAGGGGGGGGGAAACATGCTCAAGCTGCAACACTTGACCTGAAGTAACAACATTTGCAAAGGAAAAGGCATGCAAAGGGAGATTTTGATGTGCCCGAAATTGAAACTTTGAAGAGACTTGCATTTTTAACATCACAATTCACAAGACTATTCCAAATGATTGGTGTGCTAAAACGTTTTCTTTTGTATTTGAGAAAGATAATCAAGGATTGTTGTATTACTTATTCTTGCAATTTAAAATAAGTTTAGCAGTTTTGCACTTTACATTTTTTCTACAATACATCTGTTTTGTTGAAAATTGAAGTTAGCCATTGGGTGTGTGTGCGAGTAGTTACCTAGGCTGCAAAACAGCCTGGCACCGGCACTGTCCGGAACTATATATGCTGTGAATCTGTGAAACAGGTGGTGTCCCAAAAGGGCAAATATAGTGCAAACATATCATTGAGAGGCCAGACCAGAAGGAAAAGGAGGAGAGAGAGCTTGTATATTACAGAGGCCAGATTTACTTATTGTTATGGTAAGAATGATGACTGACTGTTACTTTGTCAGGCAAATATCTAGAAAACAGTGCAGTCTCCATTGCTGATTCTCTCTTGTTTTTAAACTGAGATGCCCACCAGAGTTTGTAAAGGGTATATTTGTGCATGGAAGTGAAAGACAGGCCAACAGACAGCAGTGGCAGGTGTATAAAACAAGCCTGAAGGAGGCCCCCAGCCTGCTCACAGGGCCTTGTATGATCAGTGGAAAGTTGGTCCTGGCAAGTATTAACCACTCTCAATTCCATCCTGATAATTGCCACCTGCCCAGATTTTAACTTGTCTGAATTAATTTTAAGATATATTTTAAATGATTGGTGTCTGTTTTTATGCATATTGTGTTGTTTTTAGGATGTTAACCGCTCTGAGCCTGGCCTCGGCCAGGGAGGGTGGGGTACAAATAAAAATTTATCATCATCATCATTATTATTATTATTATTATTAAGAAAGGAAAACTGGGATAGTAAAGTGGAGTAGGGGGGAACAAGTTTCCCTCTGGGGGAATCTTCGGTCTTGTGTGAGCTCCTGTTTGCCTCCACTTATCCTTTGCTCATATAAAGCAAATATTACAAAAACATCCAAAGGACTCTATCCAGCACTGTGCAAGAGGATTTCTGCTCACACAACAGAACTTCCTCTTCTCCCCCTGCAATTACCCCCCCCAAAAAAAAAATATCTGCTGTGGAGGGTCTCCCAACCTTCTGGAGCAGGTTTTGAGGCTGCACAGATAGCTACAGGTGGCAGGAGAAGAAGGGGAAGTTCCACTGAACACACAGAAGTCTGTTACACGAACAGAACTGCAGTGTTGGATACAGTCCTTAATCTCCAGGGCTCCCTCATCAAAGTCAATTAACACAGCAGTGCAGGCCATAGAACTTTCTGCTGCTCTGTGAATAGGGGAATGCATAATAACATTGGTTGTTGTTGGAGTAAGACACATACTGGAAATAAGGTGATTGCTAGCAACCAGCATACTTTGCTATGAAGTTTCTTTCTTTGGCAAGCAAGCAAGTTTAATGGATGAAAGGAATGTCTCAGACAAAGGGAGCCTTTTGAAATACTACCATGTACCTAAGTACCGTAATCAAAGCAACATGGGCTTGAATGGAGCTACTGTGAATAGAGATTTAGGTGAATTCTTTCATGAATAATCTAACCACTAACAAAACAGGAATTTTTTTAATAGGGTCTTTTTTTGGTCAAGGGGAAGCAAAAGGAAATGATGAATAAGCCACTTAAGATAAAAAATGAGACTACAGTGGTACCTCAGGTTAAGTACTTAATTCGTTCCGGAGGTCCGTACTTAACCTGAAACTGTTCTTAACCTGAAGCACCACTTTAGCTAATGGGCCTCCTGCTGCTGCCGCGCCGCCAAAGCACAATTTCTGTTCTCATCCTGAAGCAAAGTTCTTAACCTGAAGCACTATTTCTGGGTTAGCGGAGTCTGTAACCTGAAGCGTATGTAACCTGAAGCGTATATAACCTGAGGTACCACTGTATGTCAACAATCGTATTTATATTTACTTCCCCTGGAAAAACAGTAAAAATCCTGAGATAGAAATGTCATATTGAGATTCACAGCTGACAGCCTGCCAAGCAGCAAATATGTTTTAATGTTGGAGAGGAAAAGAGAGCTGCTATCACATGCTGGTGTCAGGGGAGACTGTAAGAGTCCTCTAGTAATACAGGATGTGAACATTGAAAAGGGCATAAGATGTCTGTCACTGAGAGATGAATGGGTGGACATTACATCGCCACTTATTGGTGTACTGAACCATCAGTCTGCCAGGCTTAAATTTTGATTGGGAGAGGAGTTGGTTGCAGTGAATAAAAAGCCACACTTATATATCAGAGAATACTAAAAAGAGAAAGTTTGGGATCAAGGGGATTTGTCAAGATGAAGCTAAAGCAAAGCTGCACTGGAAAATCTGAAAGGGGTCAAAGGGGACAGCAGAGGGACAACTTAGCTTAGACTGTCCAAAGGATAGCAAAAGAATTCATGTAGGTAGAAACTCATGAGGAAAGACCTGGAAGAAGAGAAAGACTTCTGAAGTGGCACTTCAAGAGAGTCGGTGTACGATCGATATAAGAAGGTGAGTTCAAGAAGCTGTGATGTCTTCAGAGAGTGCCAGCTTGTAAACCTCTTCTGTTCTGAACCTTTGTCAGTCTGGTTCTGACCAGAAGAAAGGCTTCAGTTCAATAACATCCAAACAAAACAGTGAGTTCGAACTGTGGACAAGTTAACAGAAGGCAGGGATAGGAAATCTGTAGCCCTCCAAATGTTGTTGGACTCCAACTCCCATTATCCCAGATTATTGGCCAAGTTCGCTGGGGCTGATGGAAGTTGCAGAGGAGGGGGATGGCAATTTAATTAGGGAAGCAACCTAGTTCAAGATGATTTCCAACTCCTTAGGTTATAGTATCAATTAAGCAAATACTGAACGAAGCCTATTTGAATATAGTCCAACCATTAATACTTGTCCTAAGTTTTTTTTTAAAATGAATAAGTTTTAGTACATTGGTTCAATTTATGTCTCAAGCCTAAAACCTATCCCAGCTACTAGGAAAAGAAAGGAAAATACACTACGTATGTTTTTACCGGGAATGGTTGATGGCAGTAGAAGATAAGGAACAAAATGAACAAGCTGGGTTATAACATGTGGTACTACATTTTTATAAATAGTTAAAACCTCCCCAGGGAGTTAAATAGTGGTTTGATTCAAAAGGCTCTTCACAGCACAGGTTGTATTGTTGTATTATTGTATTACAGATTTCATACAAAAAAGAAGGATTTTTAAAATAAGAGATCCACGAATCATCAGATTTCTCAGGACTTTTGTTTACTTGAAACCAGCTGCGGAAGATTTCAGTTTTGACTTGAACAGAACTGGTGGAAGGCAGCATGTTCTTAAACCTTCCTCCTCATGTTATTTCCCCAGTCTAACCCAATCGTGCAACCCAAAGTTGTGGTTAAACTCTGGAGGCAGGGAGAGAGAAATAAAGGATGGTACAGGTACCCAAAATCAGAGCTGCAATACTTGAATCCTAGAAACAGTAGAGGAGAGCTTTCCAAACTATTCATGTTTGGTGACACACTTTTTTAGACATGCATCATCTTGCAACACAGTAATTCAGTTTTACTAGCAAACTGGAGGTTAAACTAACCCTTTTCCAGCCCCAGGAGGAGCGCAGGGAGTAGTCGTGCAACACACCTGCACACTGCAGCCAACACACTAACCTGCCGTGACACAGTTTGGAAAGCTCTGCAGTAGAGTTATGCAATGGACAATGTATCATGTACTCTTCAAAATATATCAGCCAGATACTGATTGCTATTGCTTTCATAGAATCATAGAGTTGGAATAGACCACAAGGGCCATCGAGTCCAACCCCCTGCCAAGCAGGAAACACCATCAGAGCACTCCTGACATATGGTTTTCATTAGATTTGTAAGAGTATTTATACAGTGGTACCTCGGGTTACATACGCTTCAGGTTACAGACTCTGCTAACCCAGAAATATTACCTCGGGTTAAGAACTTTGCTTCAGGATGAGAACAGAAATCGTGCTCCGACGGCACGGCAGCAGCGGGAGGCCCCATTAGCTAAGGTGGTGCTTCAGGTTAAGAACAGTTTCAGGTTAAGTATGGACCTCCAGAACGAATTAAGTACTTAACCCGAGGTACCAATGTATTAACATTTTATTTCACTAAGAGCTTCCTACCAGTAAAATAGCAGAGAATTGTGTTTGGCATGAGTTCGGTTTTAAGCGGCAGATGATTTTCATAATTTTGCCCAGCACAGGTTATTATGAAAAATCTTACCTGCTCTACTTTTATTTTTAAAATATTCCAAAAAGCCACCATTCAAATGAAATTCAGTAGAAACTTCTGAATCGTAACAACGGGGTCAAATAAAAGTCAGTCAACCTTTCAAATTGCAATAACACTTAACCAGGATTAACATATTTGCTCAAGGCTTAGCAGAATCTCTTCTGCCTCAAGTCCAAAACTTGTTTCCCAATGCAGAAACAAATATATACTTCTGAGTCAATATACTTAGAAACAGGCCATAAATCTGGTAATGATTGCAAAACTGTGAACCTTTCAAAACAATATGCTAGAGCATGCATATTGTTGTTGTTTAGTCGTGTCCGACTCTTCGTGACCCCATGGACCAGAGGACGCCAGGCACTCCTGTCTTCAAGAGCATGCATATAACTTCTTTAAAAATACGTAAAGGAATGTCACTTTGGCTGTGGAATATAAACTATAAACTTATTCTAATCTCTCCCTAACATTTGGACCTCATTCTGCCTCGATTCAATTAAATTTAAGCAAGGCCTTTCCCACAGTACCAAAAAATGCACAGAGACGCCAATCTAATTTCAACTGCTTCCCATTCCCCTGCCATTTCCAAAATATTTCAAGACTCACCTCTACAGAGAGTTTCTTTCCCAGTGCAAAAAGCAAAGGATGCATATTGAGATCAGGGTCCTTGCGGAAACAGTTAGGTTTAGCATGGTGCTGGAAATGCCAGTGATTCCACCAGCTAGCTGGTGCCCCCTGAAGAGAGAAATAAATAAGAGGTCTAAACTAGAATCTTTATACTCTGCCCCAAATAAAGGACACAGCGAAATCTCAGCCAAAGGGGTTCCGTCATTTATTACCACTGGAGTGATGCTAAGGAACAATCCCAGCTCCATTACTCACCTTCAGGTGTCCAATCACAAATTTGTGAACCCAGTGGTTCCACTTAGATTTGCCAAAGACCGAAAGGTGTCCCAAATCATGCTGCAGCCAGCCAGCTTGTGCCTGGAAAACATCAGTACAAACACAATGCCACAATGTAAAATGCATGCAGTGTTTTATAGCATAGTAGCAACAGAAAGGGGAAAGGACCCATCTCCACCCAAGCGAGTTTTACTGACTGAAATTTGTCAATGAAGGGAAAAGAGAAGGCTGGGAGAGGTCAGGACAATATGGAGAGAAAGTGCAGTTAATATGCATATGAACCGACCCAGACTCTGTGTGACGATCATCAGAGGCCTCTTTCATGAGACGTCTGGAGGTTGAAAACACGAGAACGGGCCTTCTCTGTGGTGGCTCCCAGTCTGTGGAAGGGAGGCTCACCTGGTGCCTTCATTACATATATTTAGGTGCCAGGCTAAAACATCTCTCTATAACCAGGCATTTGGTTGATTAACATTCTATGACCCTTTAAATGTGTTTGTGGGAGGGGGGGATAATTGGTTTGTTTTTGTTGTATTATTTTTTTTGTCTTCTCATTTTTTGTTTTTATGTTGTGAACTACCCTGTGATCTTCAGCTGAAAGGCACTAAACGTTTTTTAAAACAACAACAACATGCATAGACTTTGTTGTGAAAGGAGATGAAGGCAGAGGAATTAATCCCAAAGCTTGATGGAGTGATTTCAAAGAAGAGAGTGAGATAGCACTCCCAAGGTGCTTTAAGGAGTTCCTAGCTTAAGCAGAGCGTGGGTGAGTGGAAATAATTGTTTGAGGGTAGGAAACCTCTGGGCAGCCATGGGTGGTAAGCTGGAGAAGCAATGGTTACAAGAATCCAGGAGGAAAATGGGCACTTTCTAGAAGTATCTTGCCTCCTCTTGTGCAGCCTCATGTAGTCAATCCTACCCCACCACCTGTCCTGTTCATTGCCCTGTTGTACTTGATCTGTGGGTTACCTGTACAGTGCCAAGCAGCAATCCAGAGAAGAGGAAAGGCACCAAGGATGGTCCAAAGTACCAGAGGTTGAGCCAAGCTGCCACATCCAGCAACAAGATGTGCATGAGGTACAGGAAGAAAAAGAGGCGGTTGGGATCCAGAAGTCCCATCTTCTCAACGGTAGCACGGAGCTCACGAAAATCATCTACATGCTGTTTCTGTGGAGAGAGACCACATTGCAGTTTTCTCTCCTCTGAAAGGGGACCTCATCCAGCCTCCTACAGAGAGCATGCTGAAGTCCAGCTTTTCTATCTCTAGAACCATCCCAGGTGAGCCTATTGTTAGAACCTAGATAGTCTCACAATTCATTTTAAAATGCACACATAAACAGTTGTAAACAAAAAGGCTTTGAAAGGTCAATGTAGCATAGATTCTGTCTACATATGTGCTAATGTATACTTTTTCTAAAAATCATAATAGGGTACTGGTGCTGAACCGTTGTTCTGATGGCCATTCAGTATTCAGCATATTATATTCTCACACTTAACGACCATGTTAAAAACAAGTTCTTAACAACAAAAGATATCGAGGCAGAACCTCAAAACTGTGCTGCGGTATAGAAAACTTTAGTAAAGCATATGAAATGCGCAGTGTGTTTCAAGATAGGTGTTCTTCAAAGTCAAAGGAATACAATGAAGTATGATACTTCATGCAGTGAGACACGGTGCTTTTTAAAATTATGCCCAAATAAGGTATCAAGTTCTATTTCTTTACCCATGAAGAAGGTATGTTCTAAAAAATTGTTACATATCTCTGGACATTTCATACTTCTTATTATAATTTATTAAACTGTATTTCATTACCATTTTGATAGTAGTAGCTTTGCCAGTAGTGTTTCTTTTTCTTTCTTGTGTTCTGGCGGTGTCCTCATCTTTCTTCAACTGAAAACTAGTTCTTGCCTCTCTCACCCCCAACTAGATCCTTTTTCTGCATTTCTTGTTTTGATAGGCCACCCAGATACCTTTCCACTGGCTTCACTGATCTTGCTTGACTTCAAACCCATGGGCTGCATTAAATGAGATAGTTGCACATGCACAACTATGTGACTTCCACATTCCCCCCAATACCATCCTTAAATCTGTTCCAGAGGGATGGAGGATCTCCCGGAACAGATTTAGAAGACATACATAGGGAAGAAATGGGGAGAATAGTCTATTGCACAAGGAGAAATTCGCCTGTTCTAGGTGGGGTTGCCCTCACCTCAACAGAGTCAGTGTGTAACTTGAGAGCACTCATGGATTCTAAGGAGTGCTAATTCACAGATGCAGCTGGTTCATCAGCTATGATTGTTTCTGGATCAGGATAGCCTGGCCACTCTTACCCATGGATTACTTTAATGCGCTCAATGTGGATCAAAAGCTACAGCTAGTGTAGAATGCGGCAGCCTGGCTGCTATACAGCAATCATAGACAGAATCATGTAACATCAGTGCTTAAGGGAATTCACAGCCTTCTTACATACTGGTGGTACCACCAATGGTTATTGCCTCTTTGGTGGCAACATGTGGCAGGGTCTCCTCTGTGGTGGCACTACAACCATGAGACATTATCCCATTGCAGATACCATTGGTTCCCTCTTTCAGTTCCATCTGATGACACATATTTTTATAAGGGGGCAAACTGAGACTTTAAAGCTATATATAATATATGGAGTTCTAGTGACTGACCATCAGTCTCACCAGTCCAACATATCCTATGATGTTTTAAGATTTAAAGTATTTTTAATATCATGTAAGGTTCTAGATATTGTAGTATACCAACCTGCAATTATTAGATGGGTGGTCTCAAAATAAATCACCACCACCAACAATAGTAGTAATGATATTACTACATCTTTTTTTTTATAAAGGAAACTTACATTTTTGCTGGGTTCAAAGCTGGGTTGATCTGCTGCAAGCTCCCCAATGAGCAAGGGCTTCATGTACTTTCTTACTAGAGTCTTGTCCAGGTGGAATGCTGTGAAGGGATCCTGAAAAACCATGAATGAAGTGGAATGAAGTGAGTAAACTAGTGGTGCTTCAAGAAGGGAGAATTTAAATGTTAATTTAAAAAATGTCAAGAAATAGGCATGATGCTATTGGCATCCCTAGGTCAATGTGGGGAAATCTAGCTAGTGAAGCTTGCTGGTCCCATTCTGCACTTCCTAAAATATACTTTCCAATCCCAAATGGCCACATTGTTCCATTAACTTTTTCCTTGAATTAGTAAAGTGTTTCAGTGTGGGAATATCTCATCATTTCCTCTAGAGGCCTTCCAGTTGTTGCTGAACTCTAATTATCAGCCCAGTCATGACAAGAGTTGTAGTCCAACATCTGGAAGGCCACAAGTTCCCCATCCCTGCTCTAAACAGAGACCTGTCAGTCATATCCTGACTATTTTCTCTTATCCAAATAAAGTTCTTTTGTCTCCTCTTCCAAAAAGCCTCTTTCACCTTCTGACTTGAGTTTCTCTAAAGGCTGCAGCTACACATTCTGGCACATGTGGCATTGGCACAGATACTGATGGTCCTTCGACTGATTTCTAGCCAGGACACTGGTTTACTTGTTCCTGTGCTTTTATTTTTATTTGAGGCATTTGTTCCCAAGACTTTCTGAAGGGCTTCAAGAAGACAACTAAAAGTCCTGGGTAACAGTTATTCCTTCTGGTCACTAGGTGCCGCTCTGGAAATGTGTTTGCATTTATAAACCAGACACTTACCTTTGCCTCCCTGAGAACTGCATTTACAGCTTTCTGCTTTCAAACAATGCCCACATCATTCCCAAGGCATTTAAGATTTTGTATTTGTGCGGTAGGTGAAAAAGAAGATATTCCCCGTTATATACTCCATTGTCAGCTCTATCAGATATTTTTGGAACAGATGTTGGCACCGCTACAGGGACAGAACCCTGAAGTGAAAACATGTTGGCTATTATCTGACTGCAACCCGCTTGTCACATATGAAACAGCCTTATTTGCAAAAGCCCCTAAAAAGTATCTGTGCTGGCTACATAAAAGACAATTCTGTAGATTGTGCAGGGATTCATTAATTTGATTTAATGTAAATGGATGTATATTTCTGGATCTCTTTTAATAGGTTTTATTTGATTTGCTGGACCTGTAACTGGATTTGTGATGGCTTTTAGTCAAATACAATAAATGACTGATTGATGTCTGCCAACCATTCATTCAGTCCCTGAGTGTTATAAACAGGACAAAGCTGGGGACAGGGTTGTGTAGAAATACCAGCAAATAACCATTATGTTTTATAAGAACGTGTGAATTTTCCTGGCTGTTACTGAAAGGCCTCCCAAACCAAATCTAATATTGATTCAGATACATATAAGAAGGCAGAGCAAAACTTCTGCAACCTCACATTCCTCTCCATGTGCTATTTAGCTTGTCTGTATAACAAGGTGCCAGCCCTACCATAAGGCAGAGTGAGGCAGCCACCTCAGGCAGCAAATGCTGAGGAGTAGGGAGTAGGTAAAGCTGTGTGTACCACATGGCCTGCCCTGTGTCACCTAAACAAGCCTGTGCTCTCAAGTCAGTGTGATAATTAGGTGCACAACCTGACCAAGGAGCCCTAGGTGGCGTATACAGTTTTCCACTCCCCTCACAGCAATCCACTGAGTTTCAGGCTGAGTAAGAATTTGAACCCTGATCTGACACACTACCCCCTACACCCCTGTGCTTACAGGGGTGGACTTTGGTCTTTCAAATTTCAGCAGTGCCATGTACAAGGCCAAAATTAAGCACCCCACCCGCCTCTCGCCTTCCGTTCTGCTCAATTCACTATGTCATAGTTGTGACACCCTGTGGCGCTCACTAGGCTCAGTGCCAGTTGGGGAGAACAGGTCACACTGCCCTAAATCTGCCTCAAATGCTCAAGAGGGTCTTTTTAGTTCAGCTGAAAGCACTATTGGAGGAAACAGATTATCTGGACCCATTCCAGTCTGTGCTCAGACCTGGGTTTGATGCATAATCCACTTTTCTTTATAGCATGTTTTAAACATGTTTTAAGCTGTTTTATTATTATTGTCGTGTCTGCTGCCCTGGGCTCCTTTGGCAGGAAGGGCAGGATATAAATTGAATAAATAGTAACAACAACAACAACAACATATTTATATCACACTGACATAGTGTCAGTCACTCTTCTGTTCAAGTGGTGTGAGGACCTCAGGAAAGAAGCTGGTTTCTTCTTGTCTAATATAATGCCTCTGCTGTTGACACCCCTCAGACCGAAAATGTCCCCCTTCTAAAAAATCTCTATATTGGCTTTTATTCTTTCCTTCTTTTTCACGATACTGATCAACACATGCTATCCTTAATTTGTGTGCTTTTGGATGGTGCTGGCCCTTTAAGGCTGGCCAGGAAAGTGTTTTAAAATGCAGCTGATATAACTACTTCCAGTGCTGGATGTAGAGAGAGAGAGAGAGATTGAGAGATTGTATCCGCTGTTCCCAAGTTTATCTGAATCCTGGGAGTGGGGAACGGTATTTTCCTGTTAGTTTTCTCATTGGAAGGGGGAAAGGGGGTGGTTCGTAGGCTGATCTGTAGACGGTGGTACCATAAGATTCAGCCAATCCTCACAATGGCTGTTGTAAAAACCCGGCAGTAATGAAAAAGGGAGAGGAGGGAGGCGATAGAGAGGGACCTTGTAAATCACCTTCTCGGAACTGGAATAGTTAGCTGGGCAGCAGGAAGTAGAAGGGGAACCTCTCGTTTTCTTACATTTTTTAGATTTTCCATATATATATATATATATATGACCTATAACAGCTTTTTTTTGCCAGATGAACAGTATTTCATCTTTGTTTCCAACTGCACAAGTGTTAAGCTTTCAGCATGTCCTCAAGGCTGCTAAATCCAGACTAAAATACATGGCTTATTCAGAGTCAATTCACACTGCCACGATGCACATTGCCAGATGCATTTTTTGTGTGTCTGGATTGTGCTATGTACATGATGAGTCAGACAGCGGAGCCATTCATCGCAAACACAAATTGCCGTTTAGTATGCCACCACTATCATTTCTAAAAAGGCTAAAGTGGCTACACGACCGGTTGAAATCTGATTTTGTGAGAAGTGGTTCAGACAGAAACCTCACTGTAAGCACAAGACTATCTGAGTTCCATAAAAAGTACAGCCACGTAAATGCTACGTAAACTGGAGGTCCGTTAATCCAAGCTTCTGCTGTCCTGGGATCCCATCAGTGAAGTGCAGTAATGACTTAGGTTCAAATCAGAGCTTAGCCATGACTGCAATAAGTCTATGCTGTGGTTGGGTTTTAAACCCAGTTCAAATACTTCTACGTGGTTTTCCACTTCAGCTCTCCAAGGCAAAATACAAAGAATAGCAGCCAGCCCCACAAGGTGGTTATGAGGATGTGCAAGAAGAAAATGGCATTACTTGAGTTGACGCTTACAACTTAACTAAGATTAACACACAATGCATGCAACAAAATCCTGATAGACTCATCTTCCTTTTAGACAGAAGCCATTTCTGGAGGAGAGCTGATGGGATAGGGCAGAAGGGCACAGAGACTACTTAACCTTTATCAAACCTACTGCTTCTCCATTTCCCCCAGTACAGCGCTCCCATGGAGTTACAAACAAGTTTATGTAGATAAACAAGCACTTGGACTCTTAACAGGTATTTATTGTATCTATCACAGTTTAGTATGAAGTGTGAAATGTCCTGCAGATAAGCAAATGCTCCCCACTTCTCTTTCCACAGAAAGGTTTGGAAGCTCCCGTTTTTTATGGTTAGCCATGGTTTGTTGCTGGTCCAAACTATGGTTAACTTTAATAAGGGTTGGTTTCAGGCAAATCAACTTCACACCATAATTATCTAAGTTAAGTTTTTATTAATCATAATTCCAAGTCTGGATGGTGTGGTTATGCAAAGGGGCGACGACAAAAGGGGGGCACATTAGGCTTGCTGTGGCTGATTCCTGGTTGCATATATGTCATGCTAAACTTAAATTTAGTACGTGCAAACAGTGGGGCAGATTCACAATACCAGATGTCACTGCCACTTGCCAGGAAGAAGGGTGGAGGTCAGTGTGGTGCAGACACACCGGCAGGAGCACCAGACTGACTCCACCGGTGTGCCTACAGCACACCATTCTCCCCGCCACCTCCCCCCTCTCCACTGCCAGAAGGCTAGTGCTGTAGCTCCACCCCATCAGGAGAGCCACTTCTAATGTGAACACAAATAGAACACTGCATAGATGCCTAATAAGCAGGGCCAGCCCAAACACATTTTGCTGCCTGAAGCAAAGGATAATTTGCCACACATGTACACACCCAGGTACTGACTAGACTGGCAACTGAATCTTACTTCAATGCTTGCAACAGGATAGCATCCTCCAGTGCAACCAAGGGTAGCAGGATGGTTATGGGGGTGGATGACCGGCCTGGGGCACACATAGCTCTGGTCTCTAACAAAGGAAAATGTCCAAGAGAAATGGCTGGGTGCGTGATGCTGCCCCACCAAGCCTCTGAGACCTAAGGCAGTTGACTTGCTCTGCCTAATGGTAGGGTCAGCCCTAATAGGTTGCAGTCATCATTTTGAAAAGTTATCCTCATTCTCAAGCTGGTACTTGTACAAGACGGTACACATGGGAAATAAATGTATTGGGGAGAAACGGTCTGCCTAGCTCTCTCCCTGACCATGTTAGTTTTCTATGGGGGTTATTTGAACATGCTTTGGGAAGAAGAGTGAGGCATATAGACCAACAAATAGATAGACACAGTACATACAAACAAACTAGCAAAGCACACAGGCCAGTCACCATGCTTTCCTCTCTTCCAGAGTTCCTGCTCTCTCACACAAATAGGCATATATTCATTCATAGCCTTCTCATTTTTGTCCAAGTCCTACAAAAAGGATGGGGAGCCTGTGGTCCTCTAAACCAGTGTTTCCCAACCTTGTGCCTCCAGATGTTTTTGGCCTACAACTCCCATCATCCCTGACTAGCAAGACCAGTGGCAAGGGATGATGGGAATTGTAGGCCAAAAACAGCTGGAGGCACAAGGTTGGGAAACACTGCACATTGCTGGACTCCCAACTCCACCCCAGACCACATGGCCTATGCTGCATAAAGCTGAAGAAGGCTGGGAGGCCAGCAACACCCAGAGGTCCACAGGTGATCTGTCCCTGCAGCATAGTGAATGTACGGCATGTTCTTACAACTAGAAAAGTGATCACTGTGAGACATGTGAAATAACAGTGTTTCTGAGCATGTGCAGAGTTATTTTTCTTTCTCTACCTCCAGTCAGAAAATGTAATGCAGGTTCCATCCCTCACCATATATGCATGGGCATAGCTAGGATATTTGTTTGGGGGGGTGGACTTTGTTGGGCAGAACCAATGTGATTGGTCAGTTAGTTATTTCTTATGTTTAAGTATTCATCATTGCCTATGACAACTCCTGTCCTTTTGAGTATAAAGCATAGCCTCTTCATGAAGAAACCCCTGCAGGATCTTCTGGGCACTCCAGGGCCCTCGGTGTGGCTGAGTGGGCTCCAGATGTTGGAATCCGAAGCATGGCTTTGCACTGAATAGCTCAGTCGGTAGAGAATGAGACTCTTAATCTCAGGGTTTCGGGTTCGAACCCCACGTTGGGCAAAAGATTCCTGCATTGCAGGGGCTTGGGCTAAATGACTCACGTGGTCCCTTCCAACTCTACGATTCTAAGTCCCGGAGATTGCTTCCCAGTAAACACGTGTAGGATCGGGTCGCAACAATGATCACTTCTCCAGTAAAGCCCGCGCAAAACACCACACACATGCCGGCCTATCCAGTAACCTTATTCTTCCAGGCAGTGGCGTAGCGTGGGGGGTGCAGGGGGGGGCCGGCAGCACCGGGCGCAACATCTGGGGGTTAGGGTTACGGGGCGCAAATCCACGGGTTAGGGGGCGCAAATTACTTGCCTTGCACCGGGTGCTGACAACCCACGCTACGCCACTGCTTCCAGGCATCTCTCGCCCTCCAGCCCGGCCCCTGAAACATGATCTCCGCCCCCACCGCTCCCCGGCTTCGCTGCGTTGGGCATCCCCTCTGGCGCCCCCGCTCTCCTTCGGCCCCCTCACCGTGGCGTCCTGCCCCGCATAGTGGCTGATCACGCGGGAGCCCCCCGGGTGCCGCTTGTGGAACTGGCTGATGTTGTAGACTTTCCTGTCGATCACCAGCCACCGCTCCGGCGCCCTGCCCGATCGCAGCTGGATCTCGTCCCACGTGAAGAGCCGCGGGGCTGCCGCGGGGATCTCGGCCTTCGCCATCTCCGCCGGCGGCTGTCACGATGCCACAGTCAGCGACCCCCGTGCGGCCGAAGCGCTTCTGCCCATCCAGCGGCGCCGAGCAGCCGCCACCCCCGAGCGCCCAGCCAGCCGCGCGCTCCGCCCGGGACACGCCTCCCCGCGCCCTGCGCGCCAGGCTCGCGAGAGCCCATTGGCCGCTGCCTGTGCCCCGGCAGATGCCGGGCTGCGTAATCCCACGGCCTTTGTTCGTGCCGGTCCCGTTCCGGATGATATTTAGCAAACCTTTGCCTCTGCCAAGACGTTACATAAAAAAGGACTGCGGGGGGTGGGGATGGTGCGCGCGCAAATGAGAACTGGTTGCTGTCTGGGTGGCTTCTAAGAAAGTCCATGGTGCTTCAGTAACTTCAATAACTGTTTTATATCGCCTGGAAAACCCTGAAATCTCGCACCACTCGGAGACTGGGGTGGCATGCAACAATACAATGTGCAGCACAGAATAAAAAATGCCAGCACAGTTGATCTGATGGCAAACCAATGTGCACCCACTGCAGCTGATCCAAACCTTACCTCCACGGATGCCCATTAAGTTTACCCTGCAATGCCTTTCTCTACCCTGCGGCCTGGGCCAATCAATCTATAAGGAAAGGGTCACACTTCAGACGGACAAAACTGAGCAGGAGGGAGTCAAGCAAGCACTGACCTTAGAGTGACATTGCTGGTTCTAAAGCATCACCTGATTTTCAAAAAGACTATTATACACTTGCAAAATCTTCGGACTTCTTTCTCATTTCCTTGCAGCAGCCAATCTCTTTCTCTCTTGCAACAAACCAGTAGCTGCTATCTGCTGCATGACGCCCAATAACACTACTTTGCATAGACAGAAAATATATACCGTCCACAGAGAGAAAATGTTACATTTCGTTGACTTGCCAGCACCCCCTTATAGAAGGGGTGCCCAGCCTAGATGTCAGGTGCTAGTTGTCTAGTAGTCAGCCAGAATAAACAGTGCTTAAACTGGTGGCTAGAGGAGAAAATTGCACAGTGGCCTTGATTAGTAGGCAATCTAGAGCAGTTTGCTACTAGTCTTCTTTCTTTCTTTCTTTCTTTCTTTCTTTCTTTCTTCTTGGCGATCACTCATAGCCAAGTACAATTGTCTTCCATGAACACGGTCTTAACAGTGAGTCCGTAAGTAACTGTAGAGGCCAATTCTGGACCCACATGTCCTTCCACAGTGGGGACATAGTTGATCATGGTGAAGGTTTGCCAAATCTGCCTTCCTCTTAGCACGTTTCTCCAACTCCTTGAAAGATTCCATCAACAGTGTCTCAAAATTTTTTTACATATCTTCCCGAACTAATGCCAGTGTACAGGAAGAAGCAAAGATCACCAGTGTCGAAGCAATGATTCTTCACCATCAACGTCATTGGACTGGTCATGTTGTTTGGCTGCCTGATTATCATCTTCCAAAGCAACTACTCTATTCCAAACTTTAAAATGGAAAGCATAATGCTAGTGGTCAACAAAATAAGTTTAAAGACTCTCTCAAGGCAATTTTTTTAAAATGTAGGATAAACACCGACAATTGGGGAACACTGGCCTGCGAGTGCTCCAATTGGAGAACAGCCTTTCCCAAAGGTGTAATGGATTTTGAAGACACTCGTAAGACTGGTCCAAAGAGTCAATTCTTTCACACTTAATATACACAGAGCTCCAAAGGACCTCACACAGCCAAGAATAAGGTCATTGTTATGAAAGCAACATAAGAAGAAAAAGCAGCTGCTACTATATGCTCACTGGCATCCAGCTGTGGCCATCTGCATTTACAGTGAGTTAATCTCTGGTGAAAGGTACCTAATTAACAGAAACATAGTAGAACAGACTACTCAGTGAACTCTGCTATTCCAACAAAATGTCTGATTGCCTGATTGCCTTGTTATCTAGTCTGTTGCTCACACTTTTTCAGTTTCTATGTGAATAACTTCATCGATGTGACAAAATCTGTTGCATGTAGCTGCACAGTACATTTTCTGAGCAATATCAGGATGAATGGCTGCTACAGACCATATATGTTTTGCCTTGTGACACATTCTGATTAAAACAAGCACAATACCATGATTAGCTATCTGGCAAGATGTGTGAACAAGCCTCAGAAAAACATCAGATTCCCATTACTATCATATCTCCAGCTTCAAATCCTGGGGTTCATGCCTTCGTTTGTATTTGCCTGATCTCATTTGAACAACTGAATTCCCCAACTGCATTCATTCATTCATTCATTCATTCATTCATTTCTTCATTTTGCACTTTCCGAACCCAAATGCCATTTATTTCATTGAGAAAGATGTGAGTTAAATCTCTCCTATTAAAATCAAAACTGTGGCTGAATGAGTGCCCACACATTTACTACACTGTGCAATGTTGTTGTTTTTAAAACTATTTTTAACGTTTATTTTTTTCTACACTTAGGAAAAGTTGACCCATCATGGGACTCCCATGGCTGCTTACATTAAAATGCTAAAAGCAGTAGAGGCTGACCTTGCTCACCAGGCTCACCTGGTTCATAGCATTTCAGACTGATATATTTCAATCTGCTGCAGGTCTAATCAATTTTATCTTTGCCATTTTTTTATTTATTTTCCATGTAGCATAAAATGTAAAGGTAGTTGTGTTGGCGCTTTAGAAAAATTCCAATGTCATTAAGGCTTCAACATCAGACAAAAATATTTCCTCCCCCTCCCCTTGTTCTGTTTACTATCTATGAAGAGTTCTGGAGAACTCAAAAGCTCACAACACTCTTCTGTTATATTTTGATTGGCCTAAGAAAGGAATTGGAATTAGTTTGTATATGTTTTAAATATGTATTATTGTTGAGCTCTTTTCTTGTATATATTTTAGATTTCCTTTTATTCTTGTTGTAAGTTGTTTTGAGAATCTGGTTTCAGGGTGTCATAGAAATAGTTCCCATCCTTGATATGTAGGAAATAATTATCCATGTGGATGATGTGCAGGTTGAAGTGAGGAAACTGTGACCCTCCACATATTGCTGATCTGAAATTCCCATAAACCCTGACCATTGGCCATACTGACTGGGGCTGGTGGGAGTTGGAGGTAAACAACATCAGGAGGACCAAAGGTTACCCACCTCTGTTTTACATGTTAGGAAAGATTGTACAAAAACATTGTATTTTAACTTTGAGGCAGAGATGTACAACTACCCAATACATATAAGGTAAAGGTAAAGGTACCCCTGCCCGTATGGGCCAGTCTTGACAGACTCTGGGGTTGTGCGCCCATCTCACTCTATAGGCCGGGGGCCAGCGCTGTCCGGAGACACTTCCGGGTCACGTGGCCAGCGTGACAAAGCTGCATCTGGCGAGCCAGCGCAGCACACGGAACGCCGTTTAGCTTCCCGCTGGTAAGTGGTCCCTATTTATCTACTTGCACCCGGGGGTGCTTTCGAACTGCTAGGTTGGCAGGCGCTGGGACCAAGCAGCGGGAGCGCACCCCGCCGCGGGGATTCGAACCGCCGACCTTTCGATCGGCAAGCCCTAGGCGCTGAGGCTTTTACCCACAGCGCCACCCACATCCCTCCCAATACATATACCGGTAGGTTACCCAATAAATATGGTGAGAAAGGACAATGCAAAGGAAAGTGGGAGGTCAGAGAATTTACTTGAAGTGGAAAGGGGGGGAAACAAGCCCAACATCTAAAAGGTTCATCATGCATAAACTGTCTTTCGACAAATGTTAATGCAGCTGTGGGGAATAAATTATAAATATAAAGGTAAAGGGCCCCTGACTGTTAAGTCGAGTCGTGAACGAATCTGGGGTTGCAGCACTCATCTTGCTTTACTGGCCGAGGGAGCCAACGTTTGTCCACACAGACAGTTTTTCCGGGTCATGTGGCCAGCATGACTAAGCTGCTTCTGGCGAAGCAGAGCAGCACATGGAAACGCCGTTTACCTTCCCGCTTGGAGAGGTACCTATTTATCTACTTGCACTTTGATGTGCTTTCGAACTGCTATGTTGGCAGGAGCTGGGACTGAACAACGGGAGCTCACCCCGTTGCGGGGATTCGAACCGCCAACCTTCCGATCAGCAAGCCCTAGGCTCAGTGGAAGCATCTCCTTCTGTGGTAAGAGACACGTGATAAATAAGAGAAACGAGCAAAATAAAAATCTGAAGGGCAGGGCAATTAATTCTGATACTTCTGTGTAGTCTTAAATGCATACTGTAGTAGTCTTCTATTTAGTCATGTCTTGCACAGAACAACTCATCCCCTGAGCTATTTCCCATGTGGTGCTTCTGCATATTGGCAATTAACTTGTAAAAATGAAACATTTTACTCATTCTGTAGAAACATACTATCTCAAGCAGTTTTCTACTCATAGCTTAGCTGTGCAATTTATGCAATCAAATGCCCATGTGGCACATTATATAAATTTTTGATTGATTTATATATTCATCTATCTTTTGTACAAAGGAACAGACTACCCTGCCACCAATTAATTAAGTGGCTTGGATTTATTCTTGTTTATCTTTGCTTATGTGCTGTTTGTGCATTCATTATTGCTTATGTGCTTCTGGCTTATTTTGGAGAGGAGAAAGCCCTTAAAACTACAGTTGTAAACTGCACTCTCTGAGGCTTACTTCTGAGTAAATTCACTGTTGATTTAATTTTTAGGACAGTAGAAAAGTAGGTGATAGGAATAAACTACTGTGACTCAAGAGAGATGTGGTTTATCAAGCCAGCCACTCTATATTCTTTCCCATTCCCTCCCCCCCCCCCCTCTGCAGAATGACTACTTTCAGACTACTAACATTCGAAACTCTGAAAACTGTCCCCGTTTTCTATTAAGAGGAGAAGCAGACAGGAATACAGATAGCCAGAGCTCTGCTTGTTTGGAATTCTGGAAGCTTGACTTCTATACATCTGAACTGGTATTCTCTCCAACATGCAATGAGTCGCTAACATTGGCTCTTTGACTACATTGTAAAATTTATTACCATTAACTGACTTCTGCTACATTGCAACCATGTTACACTTTGAAATGGTTTCCTGGTCCAAAACAAAAACAACTTCTACTCTAACCAGCTTTTCTATGCTAAATAACCACCTCCTTTGTCACTCAAGCATAGATTTATTATAAAGTATTCTGGGGTTGTGTTTTTAACCTAAATAATATCCTGGGTATCTATCTGCTTCCCTTCTTAAGAGACAGAGATAGTAGCTAAAGACAGACAGACAGACATTCCTTATCCCCCAGAGAGGTTTCATAGATATATCATTGGCCATGGCACATACATCACTACAATATCTAGTAAACAGAACCTAGCAAACATTTCCCATAATCGTGGACTAGGAAATTGTTCTATATGTGCAAAGTTGGTATCATACAGACAAACATTTTTTTTCCAAAAAACCTTTAGCTTTACAGCTGTTGGTTTCAGGACAATAATGTTTCAGTGTAACCAGCTATGCCATGAAGGCCACAGCAAATACCCATGGTGATTGAATATAAGAACCTCTGACATCAGTACATTAGTTGCTGGACTGAGATGCCTATCTGAAATTAATTTAAAAAAAATAAAAAATGAGATGCCTATGTGAATATGAGGCAGCATGGCTGTATGAGGCATGCTCCTCAATACTAGAGATTAAATGTACCTGTCTCAAATAAATCTGTTAAGCATACTCCTCCCAGCCCCCACCTCCGCATTTGATTTCCTCTATTTTATTTTTCTTTCCTCTTTGTATGTTCATTCTTCCTCTCATTTTCTCTCTCTGTTTGTAATTCTCAGCCTAATTATCCCACACATAATCCTCCAACTCAGTGCCCCTCTCCTGCTTTCTAATACACAGCATCTTTTGTTTAATCAAAGCTACTCCATACTCTTTTCCCAAGCTGCAGTTACAATGTGCAGCCTTTTGCCTATTTGGCTACCAACACTATCCTCAAAAGTAAATACAGTGAATTCATTCCCCTTCTTAGTCTCCCTTTCTGTGGCTGAGGATGAGTGCCAAACCCAAGGCTTTGACACTGGAGAGAGAGGTACAAATACTTCCCAAACATGCCAGAGGGCTGGATTATATAATGACACTGCTAGTGCTGTATAGGACACTGCCAGAAAACATGACCTTTCCCAATTTTCCCGTATGAAATCAACCCTAAGAACTGAAGTAACCCTTCATGCCAAATGGTGTTAACACGGCACAACCGCTGCAGTGTTATCCGAACATTTGAAAGCTCTAATCACAAAACAAAATTTGAAATACAACTGAAACCAATAAACCAATTGCAATCTATATAAAATGCAAAGAAGATTAGAGACAGACAAAAAAAAACACACACTAAATGTGGCCTCCAAAAGCTTAGGAAAAACTGTGAAACTTCACCATTCATTGGAAGCTCATTCATGTTGTAGCCTCCAAGGAGAGAGTGTGCTGTAACAGGGGCACCACCACAGAGAAGGCCCCACACCAGGTTCCCTTGCAATGGGTCATCCCTGTTGGTAGGAGCACAAGCAGGATTCCCCTGATTTCAGGGCTTGTGCTGGATGATGCGAGAAGAAAACCCTTGTCATTTTTACATCGGTGCTGGCACCTAGAGACATACAGTGCATATAGTGCAGATCCTGCAGAATAAGTGTGATGTGACATTGCACAGTGGTGTCAGTTAAGACTCTAGCTGCTACATCCTGCCCTTGTTTTAATTTTTGGATCATCTTCAATGGTTGCCAAACCTAAAGTACATTCCAGTGGTCTATGCAAGAGGTCATCAGAGCATGCGGCACTATGGGAAGGCTGCTTTGATCTCTAGATAGCCATTACTGTCAAAAGAGTGATACCTGGAAAGAGGCACTCCGTTTTGACTGTTACGCTTCTGATTTGAGTGCCACACTTCCGTTTTCAGTGTTATGTTGAGATCTATCTGTTTCAGCTATTTATTTTGCGTTTTTGTGGCTTTTTTGTTTTGTTTTTGTGACTCTGTGGAACTGTGTGTGATCTGTGGAACAAGAGTGGCATGTTCCATGCCTGCAAGGTTCTCTTTCTCTCTCAGCTTTAAATCTGTAACATCAGAGATTCCTCTGCAAAGTTTCATAGCCTTAAACCCAACAAATCTGTCCTTGTGAACTGCAAAGTGAAAAAGACCCGGTGGGGATCAAAATGCCTAATCAACAATTTAAAACTACACTTTTACCTCTCATAGATTGTTTATAAGTGAGGGAAAGGTTTTTCAGTGACAACAAATAAAAGGTGATCCATGGTGAAAACATTTGTTTTACCTTCCTGGGAAAGTGGCAAAGGTCCGAATTTATGACATCTCCCCTGACTCCAGGGAAGACATGTATGAGGTGCTGCAATGTGACATGTATTTATGGCAAAATACATAACATTGCAGTCACATGGAAATGGGTATGGTTGTGACAGCCTTCTGGTGGCCACGAGTTTTTAACAGAAAAAAACAGCACCCTATCACTTTTATGTACTTGATAGAAGCAACTTGACATTAAAAAAACATTAGGAAGAAAGAACCCTTTGTTTCACTCATGTAAGTGCAATCAGAAAACAATGTCTATAAAACCAACCTTGCTCATTTTGTTATGCAAACATACAGGAAAATATTTATGGATCCTAAACTGAAATTGCCTCAATCTTGAGTTAAGTTACCTACCTAAAGGTCTGAATAAAGAAGGGCCACCCTGCAGGATATATTTTACAAGTTGGTATTCTTGATAGACAATCCTGGGAGAACTGCCAAGACCTCCTAGTTGGGGAGATAAGACACTGACATGAGGAGCAGATTGGGACTCTCTTAGGCTGAAGATAGCGGGTAGGCAAATCTGCATAATTGTAAAAACTCTTCTTCGTTTTGTGTGTGTGTGGAATCTTTTCAGGAAGCCGGCTGTCCTGAGTTATGACAGCTTCGTTTCTTGTGCCAATTTTGGAGACAAAGATAGGCGCGTTGGCGGAAGGCGCGAAGCTTTCCTTGAGGCGCGCGCTCGCTCGCTCCTCGTGCCTGATGCTGCCTCGGTGGCGCCTCTGGGAAGAGACCTGGGCCAGCGCCGCGAGCCCCGCGCAAGCACTGCGGCGGCGGCCCGCTTCACAATATCGAGGCTTCTTCAAGTTTTAAGCTGAGGTCAGCCGGCCTTCACCTTCGAAAGATTAGCGCCAGCCAATGGCAGAGCCCCGCTTGGCCGGCGGAGAGCGGCGATTGGAGGAGGAGCTCTGCTGATACCCTCCGGAATCCTCGTCGGTGATTCATGGAATGGGATGGAGAGGCTGAGGTTCCCCCCGGGCTGGCTGGCGCAGGGATTATTTGCGAGGGAAAAGTCCGCCGCTGCAGCCTAGGGGGCACTTCAGAGCAGGCGGCGGAGCCGGCAGAAATTGCACAAGGGCTGGCAGGCGGCAAGGCGAAGACAAAGAGCACGCGGAGGGGGCGGCGTGGGGGGGGGGCGGCGCAGTCGGTGAGTTAAACCGGAGCGGAGAGGCGGGGAGCCTTTCGCTTCGCAGGATCGCCAGCAAGCGCGAAGCCGAGCCGTCGAAGCAGCGCGCCGAAGCCGGTCATGGGGAAAGGCGAGGAGCAGGGCGGGATGTGCGCCGAGCGGGAGGCGCCGAGCCCCTCGTACACCTGGGAGGAGATCCAGAAGCACAACGTGCACACGGACAAGTGGCTGGTGATCGAGCGGAAAGTGTACAACATCACCCAATGGGCCAAGCGACACCCGGGGGGGCTGCGCGTGATCAGCCACTACGCCGGCGAAGATGCCACGGTAAGGGGCTCCGGCTGCCGGTGCCGCTGGCAGGGCGCAAATGGTTTCCGCCGCCCGGCTCCTGCGCCGCCGGTCACCTGCTGCTGCTGCTGCTGCTGCTGCTGCTTTGAAGAAGGGAGGGAACCGGCGGCGGCAGCCGCTGCAGGGCTGGCAAATCCGCAGCGCGGAGCTCGCTGCAGCCGCAGGGCTGGCAGGAACCGCCGTTTGACACGAAACGGGGACTGGATGCAAAGAGGGAATGGGGTGCTTGCAAGCTGGAAGGTTGCCGGCGGCTGGGAGGCTGCAGAAGGAGCATTGTAGCAATGCAAGAGCGGGGAGGAGAGAGGTTTGCCTGCAGGCCGGCCAAAGAGCTGCGCTCGGTCGGCTCTTTCTGCAAGGCTTTTTTCCCCTGAGACTCCCCACCCCCCACGTAAGGAAAGGAGCTGGTGGCGTCCTCCCCTCGCCCGGGCAGCTGCTTCTGCTTCTGCAGCTAGTGGTTGGCTAGCCTCATTCCACACACCCCCACCCCCCAAACCGGGCTCCTGTTTCAGTAACGGCAGCAGAGGAGGCATAGCGGCGGCGGGAAGGAGCAAAAGCAGGATGCCTTTGCAAGATTAGTAGCTGCGGCTCCTGAAAGCGCAAGCTGCAGGGGAGCAGCCGGCCAGCGGAGGCTTAGCTCCGGGCAGGACGCACAGCGCGGGGAAGGTAGTCGCGTGTTGAGAACTGTGCGGCCCAAAGCAAAGGTCCGTCTCGCCCAGCATCCTGCTTCCCAAAGTGGCCAGTCAGATCATGTCTCTGAGGAGCCCACAGGCTGGACATGGGCACAAGAGTTGCAGCTCTCCCCAGCTGCTATTCCCTAGCGACTGGACTCTTGAGGCCCGCTGGTCCTGGAGGGAGTCTGTCTGTTGGTGGCCTTATTCTCCATGAATTTGTCTCTACCCTTTTTTTTTTTAAGCCACCGTAGTTGGGGGTCCTCCTCACACGTCGTGATAGTATTCCATAGTTTAACCATACAAGCTTTGAAGAAGCACTTTTGTCTACCCAGGTTCTGGTTTACTGGATTACGCCAGGAGAAGAGAGGTTTGGGGAAAGTGGCCAACTAGATGCCTGCGGGAAACAAATTGTATAAGTGTGTGTGTGTGTGTGTGTGTGTGTGAGAGAGAGAGAGAGAGAGAGAGATGAATGAAGCGGTAGAGGGAAGACATAGCAGAGAGAGGAGGGGAAGCTGTGCTGTTCCTCACTTCTGACTTTAGCCCTGTCCACCGCTTGCATGCGCCCCTGATCACTTTCCCTCAAGTGAATGTGGACCTCAGCTTCAAAAAGTTTGCCCTAACTGCATCCCATTAAGATAATTGTATTCTGCTGCGTCTCTCTATTTGACCAGACTTCCTTTATGCCCACCTTTCTATGATTGCTTTTGAAACCAAGCACCCCACTTCCTCTATCATAGCTTAGAGACCATATCTGCACATGGCATCCTCTGTGGATTTGCTTGGCATGTTCATTCCCCCTCCCATGGCCCTTTGGGCTATCACGGCCTACTGGATGCTCAGCATCTTGCTGTATCCCAGCCCTATCTGAATGACCACAAACTTTTTTTTTTACTCTCATTCCATTTTGGGGTAATTCATTCTGAACTGGATATTTCCCCAGCTTCTGCTGGCCTTCCCCCAGGAGCCTGCAAGCTTTTAGATACCAAGGTCCATTTATGTTCAAGAGGACCCACAATGGGAAACAGAAAAGTGAACTAGATAGGCCTTTTGTATAACAACAACAACAGCAACAACAACAACAACAACAACAACAACAACAATAATAATAATAATAATAATAATAATAATTATTTATACCCCGCCCATCTGGCTGGGCTTCCCCAGCCACTCTGGGCGGCTTCCAAGAAATATTAAAATACTGTGATACATCAAACATTAAAAGCCTCCCTAAACAGGGCTGCCTTCAGATGTCTTCTAAAAGTCTGGTAGTTGTTGTTCTCTTTGACATTTGGTGGGAGGGCGTTCCACAGGGAGGGCGCCACTACTGAGAAGGCCCTCTGCCTGGTTCCCAGTGAGGGAACCGCCAGAAGGCCCTCAGTGCTGGATCTCAGTGTCCGGGTAGAACGATGGGGGTGGAGACACTCCTTCAGATATACTGGACCGAGGCCGTTTAGGGCTTTAAAGGCCAGCACCAACACTTTGAATTGTGAGTCCAGCATACCTGGACCTGATGGGAGTCCAGCATACCTGGAGGGCTACAGGTTCCCAGCTTTATTCTCAGGCTAAGGTATCTAAAGCAAATCTTCAGAAGTGAGGGTGAAATCACACATTCATGTAATGCAGCAAAGTCCACCTTAAGAGGTGGCAGGTGAGTATGCCTTTTGTTCTCCACCCTTCTACATGCATGTCAGACAGCACATGTACCAGTAACTTCTAGGAGTGTATTTGCAAACAGTGTGTTAATCAAAAGCAGCCACAGGCTTTCACATATAGAGAAAATGTGAGTCTGTATCGAGTCATGGCTCCGTTAAGTCTCTCTTGTGCTTCTCCATTGGTTGTGTGTGTGTCTGTCATACAGAATGAACAAGAATTGTAGCCAGAACGGATGTTTTTGGCCAGGTACCTTGGCTACATGTTTCTGGCTGTGGTTACTTTTGTCCACTGTCTATCAAGCACTTGCTCCGTTTTGTGTTCTTGGGAAGAACTACATGCTTTCAAATCAACTTGTCATTCTTCGAAACGCAGCCATCATGTATTAAAATCAATTGGTCCAGATGTCCTGCCAATCTGCAAGTTTTATTGTTAAATCATTTACATTGTAATTTTCATTTCCCATTCATCTCTGAACTTCCCAAACTGAAACACACAGTGATTCTATTGTCTTTGTTGTCTTAAATCACAGTGGGGGTTTTCAAAGCAACATTTAAAAAGAAGACTGAAGAGACACAATGAGCTGAAATGTCTGGATTGTGTGATTCTGTGGAGCAACGTTTTAAAAACAATTTTATTTTATGTATTGTTGTGCTTTTTAGTCTCAAAGCAACTTAACAATATATATATATGAAGTCAAATAAAAACCAGGAAATTTAATCACAGTGTACAATACAAAATAAAATGCTCATCCAACACAATAAGGTTAAAACCTATCTCATATCAGTAAAAGGTAAGCACCACAGTGGATGCTGGTATAACTACCAAAGGCCCAGGCAGATAAAAATGTCTTAGCCTGGCCCATAAAAACCAAGGCACCAGGCATGTTTCCCTGGGGAGAACATTACACACACAGGAAGAACCACTACCAAAAAGGCCTGTTCTTATGTGACCACCTTCCACAGCTCCCTTGGATAAGGCACACAGGGAAGGGTCTTTGATGAAGATTGTTTGCTCTGAGTGGATTCATATTGGGAGAGGCAGCCTTTAAGGTATTGTGATCCTGAGCCGCATATGGCTTGATAGGTTAAAACTAGCACTTAATTGAATTGAGAAACTCATCAGTAGCCAGTGCAGTCAGGCCAGAATTAGTGTAATGTGCTCAGACCTTCTGGACCAATTCAGTAATCTGGCCACTGCATACTGCACTAGCTGTAGTTTCCAAAGTGTCTTCAAAGGCTGCCCAATGTAAAATGCATTGCAGTAAACTAACATAGAGGTTACCAGATATGACAGTTTCCCAACTTGCAGAAGCATGTTTGATGGCTCCCAGCTTTTGTCACTGGTTTAGCTGCATTGCCTTTTCATCCCTTCTAGGATTTCATGAATGCTCTTTCTCCCAAATGTTGTACATCCACTACAAAGCTATCAGTCTCATGAAACCAGCACACGTGGAAGTGTTTGTACTTATTGGGGGGGGGGACACAGAGCCAAATCTGCAGCATCACATTCTTCTTCCAAGTGTATTGTTGAAGGGACCATTGCTTGCTTGCCACCATAATTATGTTTGAACTTCAGGAGTATGGTGACACTCAGGCCTGATCACACGCTTTAGGATGTTGCAAGCTAGTTTTTCATTTTGGCTGAGGCAATGATAGAGACTTACGGTACCTTGTATATATACACACACAAACACACACACACACACACAGTTTGAGCAGGTAGCAAGGAAGCTGATAGTGCAAGCCCCAAAGTCACATCGAGCCCTTGAAGCTTCCGCCAGCCAATTCCAAGACCATAGGACTGTCTCCTGTTTGGCCAGGTTCAGACTGCATAAACCCTTACTGCAAGTGTGACTTCATTCACAGTGCATTTTTGAAGCCATTTAGTGCTTCCCAAGGAGATGACACTGTTGCTTGCCATCTGCTAGCAATGTGTTCAAGAACCTAGAAAGAGATGGATATCTGTTCAACAAAATAGCATGGCTGCTTTGCAAAGAAAATGTGGTGTGCATGCAGTATATGAGTCTGACATATAAGTCAGAAAGGCCTATGACCCCAGAATATGATCCCAGTAGAGGGCTTGCGAGGTCCTTTAATCCAGTGCTAGCAAGGTACGGTTACTGGGTTGTAATGAAGACCATTAGTCGGTTCCCAGGAGGCTCAAATTTTCCCTAGCATTAAACAGTGCTTATCCAGTATCTTTTGTAAGGCCAATTGTCATCTCCCTAAACACTTGGCTGTTTCTTTGGTGGGCATTGTGTGACTCAGCAGCAAGTTTCCCTGGCTCCCCCCCCCCCATCCCACAACCTTTCATTTCCCTTCCAAGCCACTGTACCATTTGTTTTGGGTATCAGAGGGGGCTGAAGTATGTGGGAAGGGTTTCTTTCCTTCGCTTTTTTCAGGTTTATACTCGTTTCAAAAGGAGGAGGAAGAAGTCCAGTGATGCTGCATCCAGTGTTTTGACAGGGAGTGGTACAAAGGGCCTGCCCACATAATGGTTGTCTACACTCCCCTTGTTTGGCTTTATATTATACAGTGCAGATAGCTCTCTCACATCTGATCCTCTTGCAGTGACAGTAGGAGTTTTGTGCTGCAGGCTGAAAATTGTGCTCCAGTACCCCCAACAACGCCTGTTCACCACATGGAAAAATTTGGTACCAATTAAAGGTGAAGCCTTCATTTCATGTAGACTCTGGAAGTTAATGAGCACACCAAAATGTTCATTGTCTGGGTGCGCCCAGCCTTAGATTATGTTGCCGCAAGGTGAATTAGCAATGCACAACTTTAAGCAAGAGTGTTGTCTGCTGAGAATTAGGAAGGAGTTAGGGATTTTATATGGCTCTAGGGGAAGATAAGGAGTTGGAAATTTCCCTCAGTTACAAATCCTTTAGGCTTATGCACATGCTTGTTCATTTCTTGATGACTGCAGATTCAGGTAGCAGCTTGCACACAGAGATCACATTTGGTGATAAAATTTCCATGGTGCCTCACATTTATGCTTTAATAGCTATCCTTATCTGTATATTATTTCCTATCTTGTTTTCTCCTTTCCAGCATTTTCTAATTTATTTTCTCCTTGTCCCCTGTTCCAGTGCTTTCCCCAAGTGAATTAAGCTGCTGAAGCTAATCTTACTAATTAAGGTTTCCTTTTTTTCCATAAGCAAGGACAACAAAGGACTCATTAGAGACAATGACTTGAGTCAGACCAGTCCCTAGGAATAAAGCACCACAAGATTAGGATTCCTAGTTCTGCCACCCACTCACTCTTTGGCTGTGAAAATATGTTGCTTTCTGTTTGCTTATCTACTAGTAATAATTATGCTGGGAGATGGAGATTTTCAATGTTATATACTATTTTATACGTGTGTGTGTGTGTGTGTGTGTGTGTGTTTTGGGTATCTGTAATCAGAAGGAATATTGCTTGATTCCTACAGTAAGGCCCTGTCTGCACAAAACGTATAAACTGGTATCACCACCTTAAACAGTCATGGCTTCCCCTAAAGCAGGCATCCCCAAACTTGGCCTTCTAAATGTTTTGGAACTACAATTCCTATCATCCCTGATCACTGCTCCTGTTAGCTAGGGGTGATGGGAGTTGTAGTCCCAAAAACATCTGGAGGGCCGAGTTTGGGGATGCCTGCCCTAAAGTGTATTTTGTTAAGGGTGCTGAGACTTGTTGGGAGACCCGAATTCCCCTCACATAGCTACAATTCCCAGAGAAGAGGGATTGGTTATCAAACCACTCTGGGAATTTGCTCTGCACTGGCTCATCTGTAGAGATTATTGCATGTAGAAAGAAGTTTCTGGAATCTAAGGGGAAAATGATTATGAGAGATAAGGAAGAGTGGGTAACAGCTCTTTGAACAGCAATTGTGTATTTCTTCATTCTAGGATGCATTTAAGGCCTTTCACCCTGATCCTGTGTTTGTAAGAAAGTTTCTTAAGCCATTATTGATTGGAGAACTTGCCCCAGGAGAACCCAGCCAAGACAGAGGCCAGAACGTGAGTAAGAGCAATTTTTCCTATATGTTCAGTGAATATTTGAAGGACAGCACTGAGCTGTTTGCAGAAGGGCTTTCAAACAGCCCTCTGGTTTTCAGAGGTTCAAGGAGCAGTGCTGGGAGGGAGAAGTGCTTTTCATAACCATGGTTTCAATGGAAACCACTTCCCCCCCTTGGAGCAATGTTCCCGCCACCCATCAACTGATGGACGATGAAAGCGTGTCTAGCTCCAGCAAAGGAGCGAACAGGAGTTCCCCTTAAAGTGCCCATTGTTCCTTTAAGGCTCTGTCCTTACTTGCCTCACACCTAATGTCATATATTATGTCAAGTGCCAAAACAACCTTGCGACCCAAATAGGGATGCCTAGCAGGCTAAGTTTGGCCCACAGGCCGGAGGGTCTGCACCCCTGATCTAGAGCCAGTTTTCCTTTTTGTGTTTTACTCTACATTAGTATCTCTCATGAGCTAGTTCTGTAAAGTGTCACAATATTTGAAGTGGTGCTTTGGAGGACAAACAATCACTGGAGAATGAAGAATTGCACTGAGTGTCAGAAGGGGAGTATCTTACAGACAATCCAGCCTATCCCAGGCAAATCTGTTTAAAAGCTGAAATTATTTATCCCATGGGAGAAACTTGGCGAAGATGAATTAGTAGGGCTGCCATTTGCTTTTTGAAATACGATAACCCTAGCCTGGCTTCTGCAAAGTGCAGTCCTACCTCACAAGCTCTGGGAGTTCTTTGCATGTGGCTAGGCATGGACCAGTGACAGTGGCATGCGCTTGGAGGCTGCAGGCACAAATCCGAATTTTTCCTGCAAAGTAATCTACCTTGAGACTGCACAGATATACTGATCAGAGTTTAAACTTGTCTGTGGATACCCAAGAAAGAAAACAGGTTAGCAGTAGAAAACACAGAAAATATCAGCACAATGATTATGCCGTAACGCCAGATTCAGGGTTTCTGTGTAGTCATAAAATACATTATAGGATTGAGGTGTCAAAGAAAGCATAGAACATTGATTCATCTGAGGATTAAATACTACCATCCAGAACTGTATCAAGGGTTGTAATACGGTGGATATTTGACACTGTAGACCAATAGGAAGAACTGATACTGCAAGACTTCTTGGGTTTCAGCTTGCCTTTGCTTTATTTGAACTGAGGTACTATGCCCCTGGAGTCTACTGCTACTTCCTTTTGCTGTATGTGCAAAAAAAAAAAAAAAAGGTTTTAGGGAAGGTGGAATATTTAGTAAACTTCAGGTTTAGAGGTTTCCCTTTTCTCAAATGTGCTTAGGACAATGTAAGTCCAACCTACCAACATTGACTTTGCTTAATAAATGCTGTATCTTAGAATCCTCCAAAAATAACTAGAAGAACGATTTGATGGAAAATTATGACGATAATTCCAACACCACCCAAGGTCACACAGGCTGTAAAAAAAAAGAAAAGAAAGAAAAGGAATGGTAAAGAATAAAGCATGAGGCCGACACAAGTTTGCAATTAACTTTCCATTTGAAAGCCATCCCTAGCTATTAGATGAGCTGTTTTGTTAGATGCCTTAATGAGGAACGGGGGAGGGACACATCTCCAGAGACATGTGGCTTCAGGGGTGCTTCTGACTGCCTTTAATGTGCAGATAATTTATTATTTATTTATTTATTAAGCTTATTAGTCGCTAGTCACCCTAAGGTCTCCAAGCGACTTAACATTAAACAAAAATATATGCAAATGCCATACAATTGGGTGTGTGTGTGTGTGATAAAGATAAATGTAGTCCTGAAGAAAGCAGGCTGCAAGAAACAAGCAGGGAGAGAGAAGCGGGGGGCAGGGGGGGACACTATTAGAAAATAAAAAGGGAAACACCAGAATATGGGAAGGCTGGAGGGAGACGACAGACGAAGACGAGAGTCAGGAAAAGGAGCCCGCTGGAAATAAACCTGTGACTTTTACACACAGAGAGAGAGAGAGAGAGCGCGAGAGCTTGAGAGAAAGATTAGCTGAGTTGCTGTTATGTCACAGAATCAATATTCTGAAGAAAAACCTCACACAAGGCCTAGGTATAGAAGAGGAGGCAGGGAGGAGCAGGGGGAGTGTTGCAAAGAAACGAAGAGTCCTGAATGTAAATTTACCAAGTAACACAAAATGTCCAGAGAATTTTCATGGGCCTGTAAGTAGCCTGTTCCCAGTACAACTGGCCACATAACCAAACCAGTCGTCCATATATATTCCAAACGGATAGGAAGCAAGCCATGCGTGGATCTCTCATAATCTGAAATTTTGAGCTCTGGCCTGGAGGGCAGCTTTGCAAACAGGATCCACAGATGCCTTTCCCATCGGGCCTCACGTCGCCGTGTCACTCAGGATCCCTCAAATCCCAAACGCTCCAGCTATCAATTATTCAGGCACTTCGTCCCACTTGGCTGATTGCAAAAGGAAGCCCTTTCTGCCGCCTCTCGTTCTTGGACGGCTGCATTGATGACAGCCAGCCAGTGTCTAAACATTAACTTGCAGGTGCCTCGTGAGCTGCTTTCCCTCAGGAAGACCACTCTGCAGAGCTCAGGGCTTCCTATGCCAAAGGGAATAGCGGTTCAGACTACGTTTCAGCAGACAGCAGGGTTTCCTAGAAAGCTTATCAGAGACTCTTCCATGAAGAGTTCAGTACTGTAATGGCAGACCAGATTTTGTAAAAGAAATCTTGACCTCCCCTAGCAAGGTGCAAAGCAGAAGACCAGATTTTTTTCAATGAATCCAGGGACACTTTTCAACTTCAATGGAATTTGTCAGGGGACCGATTTGTAAATCCGGGGACCATCCCTGGGAAACGGGGACGTCTGGTAACCTTACTCTAGGGTGCATTCACAGTCGGTGCGGTGCAGTGACAAACCCTGAGAGTCTCGGATGATTTTCACTGCAAACAGAGGCTGTGCTGTTCCAAAATATATTCCCGAAGAAAGGGGTATTTTGGAAAACAAATTGGGGCTGCAGGCAGGGGCAGTTGGAAAATGGTTGAGTTTTATGCTGCAGTATTGCCACAGTTTTGCGGAACTGAGTTTGCATAACTGTCTACAGACTCCTCCTCTCCCCTCCGCTTCGCCCCAGTTTCCTTAGGAAACTTCAGCATTGTACCCTTGCCAAGGTTATAATGGCCCTTTCTTGTGTAGTTTTTGGGTTATTATTGTTTTTTAAAGGAGGGGGGAAATAGACAAAATAAATTGGGGTGGGTGTGTGGAAATGGCAGGCACTTCTTTCACTCATGGATGGGCTTTTCTGGATCTTTGTGTGTGGGAGGGTCTGTTTTGTGTTCTTTCTCATCGAGAGAGATGCATTTGTACAGAGAGGGAGAGCCATCTTGCTGTTGCCAAAAATGCTGGCATATAATTTTCTTTTACATAATTTGCAATCCAGAAAAAAATTAGTGTGCCTTAGTCCCTTTGGTATCAAGAGGACCTCTTTTAATATCCTTTTTTTCTACTTTGCAGTCTCAATTGGTGGAAGATTTCCGTGCCCTGAGGAAGACAGCAGAAGACATGAACTTATTCCAAGCGGATCCTGTGTTTTTTTCTCTTTACTTGGGTCATATCCTTGTGATGGAGGCTCTGGCTTGGCTTATGGTTTCATACTGTGGTACTAACTGGATTACAACCTTCCTCCTTGCCATCATCCTTGCAGTTTCCCAGGTGAAACTTGGTTCTATGGATATTGAATGGGCAGCCACCTGCCTCCTAGTTCATCCATGCCTTGAAAGTTGCATACTGTCACTGCTTCAAAAAGGCACTGAAGATAGCATGAAACAACTTGTAACTTAATAATTGCCAATCGTTACCGGAAGGGTGGGCCATCTTTAATACTGTGTTGTGTTTCATTCCCTATTACAATATTATAATACAACTGAATCAAATACCCTCAAAAAATAAACCTACAATTTGTATTGTAATGAAACACAGTATGTAAGAAATAAAATAAGCAATAAAAGAACAATTTTAAAAAACCATACAGCATCTAACACAGCACATTACAATTGCTAGAACAGGCAGGGAAATCGTTAAGTGGTCCACAAAGCCCTGCAACAATTTTCAGGTGGTTCAGGGTGGGGAGAAGTTTGGGAACCATTGATGTAAAGGAAACGGAAGAGAAAGCACTTATAGTTAGGTTTTGATATAAAGTTTCTCTTAGGGGTGCCTTTTCTCTCTCTCATGATCATTCTCTTTCCTCCCAAGGCCCAGGCTGGATGGCTACAGCATGACTTTGGACACCTCTCTGTGTTTAAGAAGTCTACATGGAACCACGTAGTTCATAAGTTTGTGATTGGTCACTTGAAGGTAAGGTCATGTCCCATTGAGGAAATAACTGCAGTCAGAAATGATGGGGTTAAGGTTGCCATCTTTCTCCTGGCAGGACTGTGTCTTTAAAAACCTCTGAACTGACAAAGATCCCAAGTATCATGCATTCCCCATCACTGGGAAGTGCTGTGCCTGTTGGATTTCTGCCTGTCATGCAGCTTTTAAGGGAGCAGGACAAAAAGAGCACAATCTTAGCTGGAGGCCAGCTTACCTCACTCTTCCAAGTGATAAAAAACAGTAAATTCTAGCTCTTGTGTCTGATTGCTTTAGCAAGGAATAAGCTGAAATGAATCTATTCTAGATGAACAGGTTGTTGTGCCCACAGAGGGATATAGCTTGTGAACTGACATAAATGTGTCTCAAGCAATATACCGGTATATATTAAAAAAATCCCTTCAAAATCTGAACCATTAGCCACAGTCAAACTTGTATGACTATATTATTCCCTTTAAGTTTGTTAAGGAATCCTGATGGAGAATGGTAGAATAACTAAAGGAACAAGACAAGGCTACCCGTTGTCACCTTTGTTGTTTATAATAGTTTTGGAAGTATTGGTGCAAAGAATAAGATCTAATCAAGATATTAAAGGTATAAGAGTGGGACAGAGAGAATATAAATTAAAAGCATTTGCAGACGACGTGGTGATATCTGTAGAAGATCCAATAGAGTCAATCCCGAAAGTATTACAAGAGATTTTAAAAAAAATTGGCGAGGTAGCAGGTTTTAAAGATAAAACCAAACTTTTTACAAATAAACTGTAAGCAGATAAGAACACTGGCAGTATTATTGTAATAACTTGCAGTTTTATAAGAGTATACATGTAAATTAGATGAATAAATGAGCAAATTAAGTTAATTTGGATATGCAGAAAATATTAAAAATAAATCTAAGGAACTGCAGAAAGAGGGGGAAGGAAGTCATGCTTTGAAATATTAAAATGATTGTAAAATCATTTAAAATGTATAAAATTGAAAAAAATAATGGAATCAGTGTGTGGACATTCAGGATCAAAGCATGTCTCACCTGTTTTACCCCAAAGTGCGGGATTTTATAAATTTAGAACTCAGAAGCTGGAAGATCTGAGTCCAAGAGATTTGACAATAAATACAATGCGTTTAGAGGCTCAAGAGCTCAGGATGAGGAAATCAGTTCTTGCAAGAATACATTAATAGGCTGAAGAGCTATGGCAGAAGATAAGGATCGAGCCAATAATAGTTACCACCTTTTTAACCAACAGAGGGCCTGCGCCTGAAAGGCAGAAATTCAACAGATCTAGCCAGCCAATCACAGCTAAGAACCACCAACTTGAAATACTCCAGGAAAATCAGTAGTATGTCACCTAGGACTGTCAACTCCGCCCCCCCCCAAGCTCCTGTGCCTTTAGCAGCAACCTGACACACAGATGGAAAGCAGATTAAGCTTTTCCTGGTGTGGAGATAAAGTGTCAGGAAAAGCTTTGTTGCTGCAGTTACCAGGCAACTGTTAACGATACAGAGCAGCAAGACTAGCATCACCTGGAATGGACATTCATGGCCATTCTTTTGAGTGCCTCCTTTCAGATTATCATTCAAGATCACAAACCATGGAGCAGTAAGGAATGCTGGCTGGAGTAGTTTATCCTTGCCACATAAAACCCAGATAAGGCTTTAGGGACTGGCTAGCTAATTTCTCGATAATGCCCACATTGTTTGCCCCAAGCTGTAGGCTTCCTTGCTTTCCTCTGGGGACCTCCAGGGTCTATGAATAGGGTGTTGTACTTGCTTTCCATAAACATGGCCTGGGGCTGGAATTGAAAGCTTCTTTGTGAGCAAAGGCTTTCTGTCTGTCCTCAGTTTTTGGAAACGATCTGGAGCAGCCCCAACAGCCAGCTTGCCTACCAGGCCAGTGATGAGCAGCAAGCTGGCCTTCTGGTCTGCCGCTTTAAATTGGTACTCAAACCTCAAGAGGAAAAAGGAGCTAAGAGTTCGCGGGAGCCAAACTGACTATTGTACTTAGTTCCCAGCCCCTTTCATTACTATAATATTGCAGGGCATCTTTTTGTGTACACGAATGCATTGAAAAAGCAGAGTTCCCCATATACCGTGCAAATCTTTTCTTCCTGCAGGGCGCCTCAGCAAACTGGTGGAATCACCGTCACTTCCAGCACCATGCGAAACCAAACATCTTCAAGAAGGATCCGGACGTGAACATGGTGCACCTCTTTGTCCTGGGAGACACGCAGCCCGTCGAGGTAAGAAGAGGGGGTGTGAAATCAAGTTGCGTTTACACGGAAGCTCTTTGTTTCCAAGAGTTGGGAACCCGCTTCGCATGTTTGTGGGGGGACGGGAACCCTGCGCAGTTATGTGGCACCTCAATGACTAGCAAACAAGAGGGGCAAAGCTCTTTCGCAGGCCAGTTTATCTGGACTTTGTGACTGGTCAAGTTTTGTAGGGGAAAACTATCATCCACATTCTAATCCGTGGCTTAATACTGGCCCTACCAGTTTTAGGACTCTGAATTTCATACCAGTTGGATATGAATTAAATGCTATGGGTTGTATCAATTAAGCTGTCTCAATAGTGCGAAGACTTCCATCTATGCAATGGGACTTCCTCTCCCTTTCCTCTCTCTGTAAGCCTCTTGCCCGACCCCATCGGCTCTGGAGGATTGGGGGCATGCGAGGAGGGGGAGGAAGTCCTATTGCATAGCGGAACCCCTTGTGCTTTCTGTCTGGGATGACTTCATTAGGCACAGCCTTGGATTTGGATGGCAGAGCCAATGACTCGGAGACTATCCGCAAACAACAATAACAACATGGTTTTATTATTGCATTAGTTATAGGCTGCTTTTCAGGGCTAGCCCGCCCAAGGCAGATCACAACACATTAAAACACAAATGATTAAAACCATAAAATCATAATCTACAGCACAGCACATCTGAAAACATGAGGTTTGGCACAGCATCACCAGAATAAAACTGACCTATCTTCATCCAAAAGCTGACCGGGGGGGAAAAGTCTTTAGAGTTCTCCTAAAAACCAGTCACATCTCACGTTGAAGGCAGTTTCATTCATGTATGGAACTGGCCATTTGGTGCTACTGTTAAATAGTGAGACCGTCCTTACTACTGTCATACTTCCATGTGATAGCAAAGCTGGCTACTCTGCGTGGCTGGTTTGCAGAAGACTCACCTAGAAGGAAGCCGCACTAATAATAATAACAACAACAACAACAACAACAACAACAACAACAACAACAATATTTATTTATTTATTTATTTATACATACATACATACCCCACCCATCTGGCTGGGTTTCCCCAGCCACTCTGGGCAGGGACGCGGACTTATAAAAAATATTGGGGGGGCCCGGGAAAGCTCATGAATAATAAATAAGCTCATGAATATGCAAATAAAGTGGCTCCGGCCCTAAATAGGGCAAGCCACGCCCCCCAGCCAGCCGATTGGCTGGCTGGGAGGTGTGGCCAGTCGGGATTCCCCTGTTCTCGTGGGGGCTGAAACCGCCAGGAGGAAGGAAATTCCCCCCGGCAGTGCCTTGGCAGTGGCGGTGGTGCTGCGAAGCAGCGAGGCAGGAGCCCCCGCCCCCGGCGCCCGAGATTATTGGGGGGGCTGAGCCCCCCCAAAAATTTTTTTGAGGGGGCTCGAGCCCCCTCAAGCCCCATGGAGTCGGCGCCTATGACTCTGGGCAGCTTCCAACAGATTAATAATAACAATAATAACAATAATAATAATAATGCGATAAAACATCAAACATTAAAAACTTCCCTAAACAGGGAAAGCTCACTGCCTGCTTTGAGGACTGGATCTTGCCAATATTGTCTGCACTGACTGGCAGTAGCTGTTCAGGATTTCAGATGGGGGATATTCCCAGCCCTGCCTGGAGATGCTGGGGGTTGAAGCAGGGACCCTCCTGCATTCAAGGCCAGATGCTCTCCCACTCTTAGATGTGCACTTATCCTCAGCTAAAGGTGTGACTTGCAAGAGCACACCTGAACCTTTAATATGAGAATCACCTCTACGAAAACAGGAACTAGACCTCCTATTGGTGGGAAAGAAAAGGGGGCAGTAAGATGTTATTCTTTGATACATTTTTTTGGATAATGTTGGGGCGCTGCAGCTGTATGTTGTCCTTGTGATGGGTTGCTTTCTTGGAACACAAGTTTGCTCTGGTTCAAAAGTGCAAAGAATGCTCTTCAGCCAGTAATAACCAGAAATAAACGCAGTTTTCAGCGGAGCTCTGCAAAATGGTTGCCACAGCAACCCTGAATCGGCAACGCTCTGTGTGCTGTTGCATCACATACTAAGAAGATGCTTGCCGTTAAATCCAAAGCCTTAGCCAGGAGGAGGGCACTGAATATTTTCAAAGTAAACAGGGGATGGGGCAAACTGGGCATGGTTGTGTACAGGTTGTACCTTGTGTCGTAGAGGAATGCTGTTTGATCATGGTGTCTAGAGCGCTGCGTGCCCTCGAGGAACACCGCTTGATTTGGCCTGATTCATTATGTTCAAACAAAATTAACAATGGAGCTATGCCGGCCCTCAACACTGGGCCATTTCGAAGCTGATAATTGTAGCCTTATCAACAGGTGCCTGAATTTGCTTGCACTCCTCTTAGCATTGTGCCTATCAGATTGTGAGCCTGCTGGCACAGACCGTACAACATGCAACATTTAAAAATAATATCATTATTTATAAATGGTGATTATGATCATAATAACAGCAATAAAAACTGACAAATGATTTAGCAGAACATAGAAAGTTGTGAAAAGAAAGAGGTTGGTTTTCCTTTCTTTCATGGACATAAGTGTCAGCATATCATCCAGTTGGCACTTGTCTAAAGTCCATCTAAGCAGAAAATTGGCATTTATCTGACATTTGCGAAGGTGAAGCAATCGGTTTGAGCCAGCAGACTCAAGAAATATGTGTGCCGTTTTCCAACTACGAACCTTTAAAAGAAAGTGGTAGCATTTCAGTTTTTCAAAAAATTGAGGAAAGAGCCACCATACTGTGAACTCTGGAGAATGGTAAAGGAGTTCTGCCATCCCCACTATGCATAGAGCCTAGGTGTAAAGATCCCATCTTGCTAAAACCATGGTTTTGGCAGCCCAGAATGATTGTTGGGGACACATTCTCCTCCCTTGGCCCCCCTTCCATTTCCCCCTCCCATACGCTGGGCGGGGTATAAATAATAAGATTATGGTGGTGGTGATGATGACTTGTTGCCTGATGGCAATTCTTACTTACCATAGCCAACAAGAAAAGTGGATATTTAAAAACCTGACTGTAAATACCGTATTTACTTGAATCTAATGTGCACCTTTTTTGGCCAAATTACATTGCAAAAATTAAGGTGCGCATTTACATTTGCCAGCATATACTCTTTTTTTGTTTCAAGGTTTTGAAAATTGAGGTGCGCATTAGATTCGATGGCTCATGTAAATACGGTATTAGGGGTTCTTGCGGGGGGTGGGTGAATTATAGCAGAAATGAAATGTAATAACAAGTGGGCTTAAATGAGTGAATATAATCCTCTATCGTCAGGAAAAAAGCTTACAATATTAATCTGATACAAATACAATTTCAAACAATAAAAAATCAATATAACAACAATACAAGAAGCACAATGACAATTTAAATAGGAGTCCACTAAAACAAAGGCAATTACAGTATAATCAGACTTGCTCCTAGGCAATGTACCTAGGATTGTAACCATAACAGGCTTTCTGAAACAGGAAGGCTTTGAAGTACACCTAAAAGACCTAAAATGAAAGGGAGCTTGGTAAATCTCCCTGGAAAGTGAGTTCCACAATTGTGGAGCTACCACTCAGAAGGCCGTTTCCCCCCTTTTTTCCTCAGTATGGAAAGAAGAAGCTGAAATACTTCCCATATAACCATCAGCACGAATACTTCTTTTTTGGTGAGTATCTCCATTTCCTTCTTTCACTTTCCTACATGTAGGTGCAGGCAGGAGCCTGCTTGTAATTCCTTTGTGATTAAACAGTTATTCTTTATTTCCTAACAAGCCCCTCCCTGTGTAGGAATTAAGATCCCTCCTGCTACATTTCTGATGTGCAGCAATAGGGTAGATCTCCTTTCATTCACTTCTGAGCGTTCATTGTATTCCATATTTGGAAACTCATAGAATCCAGTCGGAATCATGCCACATATTTCTCTCTCGACTCTATCCTTTCTGCCATTGTTTCATTTTTATCCCACCCCTCCAACGAGAAACTCAAAGCAGTATACATGGTTCTTCTCCCCACATATTCCATTTTATCCTCACAACAAGCCTGCAACATAGGTTAGGCTGAGAAGTTGTGACTGACTACATCCAGTGATCTTCATTGCTGAGTAGGGGTTTGAACTTGGAAGGCCTAGTCCAACTTGCTAACTACTACACCACACTCACTATTGTGGCATAAATGATGCAACTCCACACAACTCTATTAAAGAAAACATGGAGCTCCATCATATTTTTTTTCCAGGTTCTTGCAATGTGAAGAATAAATGTTACTGGTCTATAAACTCTAGTTAAACTAGGAACGAGCATCAAGAGAACCCTCCTGGGACTACAGAATCATAGAATCATAGAGTTGGAATAGACCACAAGGGCCATCGAGTCCAACCCCCTGCCAAGCAGGAAACACCATCAGAGCACTCCTGACATTTTAGAGTGTAATTTTTAAGTATTTCCACATGTCGTAAATTCTCTGTATCCGGAGAGCTAGCTGTTCTAAAACTGAGGTGCTAGTTCCTACATGCGGGGAATCATTTGTCCTAGTGGAGAATTCAAACTTGGCATTACCCACCTGCACTTTGAAGTGGTTCAGAATGCTAGTTAAAATGGGCGATTGCTGTTTTCTAAATAGCTGAACTGATTGTAAGTAGAAGCACTGGGCCTTCCTAGAGCGGTGCAGAGGTATCCTAGTCTCTTTAACATCTTGAGATGTTGGCTAGAACACAGACCAAAACAGAATCTCTTGCCATGTTTTCCCAGAGTGATAGCAGTTCCCTCCAGACCCTAACTTTCATGTTAAGGTGCAGCTGCAGGGTGCCATTTTATGTTTCATGCCTGCCTGCCTCCTCTAATGCCTTCTGGTTTTCCTTTCAGTTTTTCCACCTCTCCTCATTCCAGTTTACTTCCAAATGCAAATCTTCATGACCATGTTCAGACACAAATTCTGGGCGGTAAGTGAAAGATCCTCCATACCCTGCATATTGCCTTCATTCAAACCCATTCATTCCATTGGAGTTGAATGGCCTGGGCCACTCCAAGGAGATCTTCCTGGGGGAAATGAAGAGGCATCTCTCTGCATATTCTGTGGAAGTCAGCACTGGTGGAAGGAGGGAGGCAGCCAGCAGCATCCCTTGCAACACGTAACCTCTCCCTTGTCTCCTTAGGACCTGGCCTGGGCCTTCAGTTACTACCTACGCTATTTCACCTTATATATCCCCTTCTATGGAGTTCTGGGATCCTTGTGTCTCCTCACCTTTGTCAGGTAAAGTTTCCCTCTTGCTGAACCTCCCCTTTCCAACAGTGGAACTAAGGAGTGTCTTCAGAGTAGCCTAATCACACTGTTTCTACCTCTATCAGTCACCCATCTTTGGTCTACTACGCTGTATTATCTTTGCTGACTTGTTCTACCTCAGGCTTTGCTGCATCCCATCTCTTCCCAGCTTATTCCTCCCTTTTAGCTCTCTTTTTCTGAGGGCAAGTTTCCCTGTGCTTGTTTACTGTACACCAAATGCTGTGCCGTGGATGCAGCCCGAGATCAGAGGAGGAGCAGGCAGGAGTGCACAGTTTTCAAAAGTGCTTCATTGGTTTTATTTACTCAAGAGTTCTCAAACATTCAATGCATTCACACATGTTCTGCAGGGATTTAGTTACCAGAGATGGTTGCAAAGCATGTTTGGATCTCTTCTTTGAACTAGAAGGCTTTGGGATTGCATGGCAGGCCTCGGGATTCCAAGCTCTTTTCATTGCCCCCCTCACCATGGTGCTTTTTGTTCTTAAGAATGCAAGTTCTTTTGCATGGATTTTCATGCCCCCAGTGGGGTACCTCTAGGCAAATGAGTACAACTTTCCTGAAATGTGACATTCCTCTTCCAAGGAATGTTGTGTTGCCATCCCATACTCCGGTATTTTAAATCCTGTTTATTTCAGATAGCCATCAGCAGCTGTTCCTCTGATAATCTTTGCAAACAGCTCACATTCATTCCAAAAAAAACCCATTCATTTGTCTTCATTTATGCATTTCTGAATTGATCCTAGGACAAATAGTAATATTATTAAGGTAACAGTATGCAGGGTATATTTAAAAATATATCTTCAGACTCATTGGATAAATGACAGTCCTATGGATCTGGTGAACTCCCTCCATTTAGCAGTCCTGTGCTTGAGGGGAATCTGGCAGTGTATCTGTGTTAGGCTGTTCAGATAAGCTCCCATTATCAAGTGAAAATATAATCATGTACGAACCAGTCCTTTCTGCTACTATAATTGTCACTGGCAAAATCCCTTGGGGAAGACACAAAAAAATGTCAAGCAGTCCAGTGGAAAATTCCAGTTTCACCTCCTTCCCCAGTACTGTTGCCAGAAGTAAATATGAGAAACACAGTCTGCTATGAAGCTGGGGTGTCTATTATTTGGGGGGGGGGGTTATAGCCAGGTCACTTCTTCTTTGAGCTGCTTAAAATACAGGCTACCTGGCTACAGCAGGGGCAGGGAATTGATGGCAAATAGATATAGTTGGACTTCAGCTCCCACTAGTCACAGCCAGCATGGGCAGTAGCTAGGGATGATGGGAACTGAAGTCCAACAACATTCTTTTATCCCAAATGAACAGCTGTCTTGTCTCTGCTTAGGATAGAAAATGAATATGCAAATTATTAAATAAGTGACTGGAAAGTGTCTCACAATATAGAAAGGCAGAGCAAAATGCCAATTACCCTTTCCACTGGAAAACCTAGCAACCACTAAGATGTTTGTCTGTACAGAATGGGGGAGGCTCTCCTTTGATTATTCAGGCAAGAATTCCATTTCCCCTGCACCAACGGAGCACAGTTTGTCCAAGGATTAATCTATCCAGATATACAAGGCTGAATTGTGTGGTTTTTGTCTCTCCCCCCCCCCTTGTCCTTTTTTAAGGTTCATGGAAAGTCACTGGTTTGTATGGGTCACACAGATGAATCACATCCCAATGGAAATCGACAATGACAAGCACAGAGATTGGCTCAGTGCTCAGGTAAACTGGGTCGCTAAAGTCTGAACTATTGAAATCTTGCACAGCCTTAATGAGACAGCAAGCGCCGCTGAACTTGGTGGGATTTCTGGGATTGTACCGTGGGGGTTCTAAAATCATGCTGGAAAGAACTTAAGCCTTTGTGTCCGTGTCATGGGATTCTTCTAAAAATAAAGCTAACTGAGGAAGTTTGGTGCTGTGCAGGCAGATCAGTGGGAGTGGCAGATGGTCTCTGTCGATGCACCCACACAGCACCCAGCAGCTTCCCTTCTCTCCCTCCCAATAAGGAGCAGTGACTGCTGCTGGTAGGCCATGTGCAGAGCAGCAGCAACCCTCCAATTGCTCCTGACCTCTAACTAACCCTTAAACTAACTAGCCCGTTCCCCATTGATGTATGGGTGAATGTCATATTTCTGACAACTGCACTACAGACTTCCATGAAGTTCTTTGCTGCCATCTATACAAGGTATATTTGAAGTGGCTCCAGACCACATGTTATAACTATTTCCAACGTTAGATTTCTTGGTTCAGGCTTCCAAAACTGATGGACCTATTTAAGCATTGCAGTGGCCATGGGAAGAACATTTGCTTAAAATAGATGGCCCTCATTTAAACAAGAGGGCCACATGGAAGCCCTTGCACAATGACTATTATTTCTTAATTTATTAAACCTCTTTGTGCCAAAATGGGCTTCTTGGCAATTTTGAAAATATAAAAAGCAGTGACATGAACATTAAAATATAAACATTCATAATTAAAAGAGGGAATAAAACAATCCCCTTAAAACAACACGGCAATTAAAACCGGAGACTGGTAGAGAGATCAAGGGAATTCCTGTGTAAACAGGTGCAATCTGAGACTTCCTTGGATTGTGGCTTTAGAGTAGAAGATGGCAGAGTGTGGCATTAGAACCACAGACAGTGACAGAAGAGCAGAGCTTGTTATGAAATCCACTTGATCTGCTTCCAAGTCTGGGCTTCATTAAGATTCACTGTTTTGTCTCCTTGAATTCTGCAGTTGGCAGCTACCTGCAACATTGAACAATCCTTTTTCAACGACTGGTTCAGTGGACACCTGAACTTTCAAATAGAGCACCAGTAAGTATGCAATGTTTGGGCCTGAAGGAACTTTGCTAGAAAGAATAGACCCTATAAGATACAATAGAATCCCCCTGGGGGAACTGGAAACCCATAAATAAGGAAGGGCAAAAAACAAGGTAATTATTACCTTGTTGTTATTTTTGAAATAATTATTTCTATCCCACACTTGCACACTAAGTGGCTACAGTGCCTAACAGCAAAAGAACATTACATTACAATATGGTTTAATTAAAACCTCGGTGTTAGATACAAAAAGCAGGAAACAATTGCTCAGGAAGTCTGGATGACTTCTGCTAATGTTTCAGTGCTGGACTGTCTGCACTGACCACACACCCACCCACCCCAGCCATGCACTCATGCAGCAGAGTGGGTTGGCAGAGCCTTGAGGGATGTACAGGGATGTTCACCTTCAAGCTACTAGATGAGGAGGCTACTTTTGAATGCCTTCCCATGTTAAAAAAATTACTGCAAGTAAAACCCAGCATCAGGGTCTAGGGTTCTAACCCAGCCTCCTCCATTCAGTGCTAGTTTTCTACCAGCAGAGACCACACACTTGCAGTCTGAAGTGGGTACAGTCCCTTAATCTACTACTACATTTTGCTGCTTATTCCTGTAAGCAAACGTGCAAGGCAGTGCAGTGCAGTGCATTTCCCCAAGGACGGAGTCTATGGAGGCCTTCCTCAAGCTTTCTCCTTTCTGTTTTACCATAGCCTGTTTCCCACGATGCCGCGCCACAACTACCACAAGATAGCACCGTTGGTGAGGTCCCTCTGTGCCAAGTACAATGTCCCTTATGAAGAAAAACCTATCATGAAAGCATTCTCAGACATTGTTGGGTAAGAGAACGGGCGGGGGTTTTCAATGTGTTCACCTAGCACATCTAGAAAATCTGGCAAGACACCGCAAGGCCCGTAGCCCATGTCCTTGGCAGAACCTTCAACCAACTCAGCTGCTGTGCAGACATTTGCTGCAGACATGTTTAGAGCTGGGAATTCTCTGCAAGTGAGCTTGGCCTGTAGACATTACCTTGCCTATTCCTTTTAAAGCACAGTAGTTGCCATTGCTCAAGCCAGCCAGCTTTTACTAGGTTGTTGTGAAAGAGAAAAATAAGGAAATGATGTATGTACTGCCCTGACTTTCACTGAGGCAGAGCGAGATGAAATTGACAAATATAGCGTTTATGAAACAAATGATATGCTGGAACCCAGTAATGGAAGGAGAAAAGGAGGCAGCACTGGAATGGCAGGCACCTTAACAGGCATTTAAATGCTCCTGTGCAATCCATTGGAAGAACTGTCCAGGAAGACAATGTGCCTTGGTCATTAAATAACTATTGGAATTCACAATTTAAGTATAGGTTGTTATCAACATGCCCTATAAATCCAGATTTGGGAAGAGGAGTGTAGCCCTATTCATGTTTTTACTTGCATGTAGGGCACCCATATATAGCAACAGGAGCAGGACTGCCATTGACACTGCATCCAACCTTGACCTTTCCATGTTGATTGTGGAGGTCTGAAAGTGAGACTCTTTGTGCAAGCAGCTGCTCCTGCAGAGGGGCTGCATGTGAACAGGATGCTCACACAATTGTGTGCCCTGCTTTGTGTGAAGAGTTTGCTTTCCAGTCCTCTGAAAAGGTTAGGGGTGGTTCAGCGACAGGGATGCAACACCTGAGACAGTATTGAGAAGCATGGCCCCACCCTGTTGCTACTCGCGAGTATCCTATGCACACGTAAATGCAGGAACATGCCAACACTGAGAACACCTCTTCTTCTTCTTCTTCCTCCTCCACAGGTCCCTAAAGAAATCTGGAGCACTCTGGTTGGATGCCTACCTCCATAAATGAAGCTGGGTTTCAACAAAGGGGAAGGTGTTAGGCAAAGGGGGGGGGGACTGGGAGCTGGGGGTGTTCACATATGTATTCTTATCGTCCAATTTCAGTGTGTATCTGTGTGTACACAGCCTGAAGGGAATTTCCTGTATTTTAAAATTGATGCTGGGGTGGGTTCAGGGGACCTATTTAAAATCATAGAGGGTTTCAGACAGGTCAGTTAATGTCCATAGAATCTGAATGGAAAATGCTGATCTGAACACGTGATGGCTGAGAATTGGCCCAGTTGGTGGGGGGGGGGGGTATTTTGAGAAGGGAGGGTGAGTGAAGAAGCAAGTAGGCAGAGATACTCTCCTGTTCCTCTTCCTGAGACTTACTACTTACTATTATTACTGTCCCAGACTCTCAGGTACTTGATTCATCTACACAGATTTTATTTTTCAAAGCAGTCAAGCTTCTGCAGATGTTTGAATTGCAAAACAATCATGGCTGGCTCTTTTTTAATAAACTTGGGTCCCATTTCCCCTTAATGATGCTGAAACAAGAGGAGGGAAGGCAAGATAAGTTAATCATCGTGATAATATTCATTATTTGTGAAGTGCCTCTGAATGCAAAACTCAGATAAAATACAGGCCCTGCATCATAGGCTTACATAGACATAGAAGGGACATTTGAGATCTTCTCATCTGACTCTTGTTAGCCTCCAGCTGAGACAATAAATGGCAGAAGCATGTTTTTGAAAAACAACAACCACCACCCAGTAACAAAATATTGTCACCAATCTAATGGAGAATTACATTGGGGGATTCTCCGCTCTCGGCTTTTTCAAAAGGAGAACTGAAAGGCCCGGGTCCAAGCAGCTAGGCCAGGTTTGTTTCCTTTGCTCAGAGCTGGTCCTTTCCATGTATGCATGTACATGTATGCAGACCTCTCTCCCTCTCCAGTTGCCACATTGTTTGAACAAAATTCCATATAACGTACTTGTTTTGCCTTGACCTTTCTGCAGGCCGCTTCCCATTCTCTGCAATGGGGCTGCATATAAACTGGTGTAGTTTCCATTCGCCCTGGGTCAGCTAGCCTGATCCAACTAGGGACCACGTGTGCAGGGAAGCAGGCTTTCCAATGTGTGCTCCTCACCAGATAGGGGATGGTGCACTTAAATGGCTGCTGCATGCATGATTCACCAGTCAGGTCTGCGCATATGCAGTTCCAGGGCAAATGCAGACCGGGCTTCGGGATGAGAAGCAGGCGCCATGTGTTTAGTCTTCCCCCACTTTTTCCAGCCTGGGCAGCTGAGTAGCTTTATTCAGAGCTGTGCGTGTGTGGGCTTTAATTGGGCCACTGCGTTCTGGGCCCACAGGAGCATTCTGCCTCTAGTCTCAGATTTTACAACGGGTCTGTCATGAAACAAGGTATTCTCTACAGCAGGTAGCGACTTGGTTTAAAGATCTTTAAAGAGCTCCTTGGAGGAATGGCAGGATAGAAATCAAATAAATACACCCATGAGAACATGCTTCCAGGGGTTTCTGGGACTGCTCTCATGGGCAACCAGTTTATTCTGTGAGCCAGCTCAACGGGCTAAAAGTTAATGAGATTGCAATTATTTCTGCTTCTAATGCCTATTCAGTGCCTCTTGACTATTTGGCAGGTAATATAAATCTTACTTGCCGCCAAGTATGTGTAGCTACCATACTTTATTCAATAGCATTTCTACTGAGGGTCTGGAAACCCCTGGTTCCAGAACTAAAAGGAACATTCCATATTTTATAACCTTGATACATAATATAGGAAGTAAACACCAGAGTGTTAATAGCACAACTACATATTGCCTTAATCTACCTGGACATAATCAAGCCAAACTTGAGTGTTAAACAAAAAACACAACTGAGCAGTTTAAGCATGTAATTAAGTATTGAATCATTACATAAGTGCTTAGGTTTGGCTGATTCATGCCCTCTGCCTCTTTCTGGTTCCATGAATGCAGTGCTTTTTTTTTTTAATTAAAAAAACGATGTGCCAGTATTCATATATTGATAAAAGTGCCGTGGGTGCCAGCACAAAATGGCTGCCATGGGCAGCAAAAAGAGAGAGAGGTGCTGGTGCTCCAAACCAGTAAGTACTGTCACAAAAAAAGCCCTGCATGAATGTATTTCAATTTCTCTGCTCCAGCAGGAATAACCACCCAAAAATGTACTGTAGCATCTCCTATGCAGTCTTCCAAGAGGACAGCTCATTTGGTCTGAAGTCTTCTGATTTCCTTGTGGTTCTGTTTGCCCAACCCTTTGGTTCCAGAACAAATTCTATCATACTTGTAGCAGCTTTCTACCTTGTTTCGCTCCACCCCGGCACCTTCTAATCTTGTATTCCATCCTGCTCAGATGATTTCTCTTTGCTTAGCCACAGAAATCTGGGGATTCAGCCTTTTCAACTCAATAGCCACCTTCTCTTCAGCTGAGGACAAGTGTGAGGAATGTTTTGCCCTCCAGATGTTATTCAGCTACAAGGCCCATCAGCCTCAGCAAGCACAGCCAACAGGGATGATGGGACAACATCTGGAGGGCAAAACGTCCCCCACACCTGGCTTAGGGGGAACTGCAGGCTGCAATCCTATACACACACTTACCTGGGACAAAACCTGAATTAATTCAGTGGGACTTCTGAGTAGACATGTATAGGATTGTGCGGTTAGTGGATTATTAAACATTTAAGCAGGAGAACCAGTACTGCCAATGACTGTGGGAAATGGCAGTTGCATCCTCTGATAGTGATACGTAGGTGTTATTTAGAATAAAGAACCATGTTGCTGGGACAGTCCACACAAGTAGGGGTCAGTATGCAACTTATAGAGAGCAATTCCTTTAGTGAAAATGTAGCAAGTGCTAAGGAATATAGGTAACAGGAAGGAGCCTAAAACAGACATTTTCTCTCTCTTGACTAAAAGAAGCCCCAATGGCTGTCTTTATCCAGACCTTAGAATCACAGAGTTCTAGTCCAGCCCCCTGCAATGCAGGAATCTTTCACCCAAGTTTCATGCTCTATTGACTGAGCTTGTTCATGAAAAAAGCACAGAACTGAGTGATTGAAATAAACATTAGCATTTGGGAGATACTTTGTGTATTGTGTTTCATTGCTTTTGCTGAAAGACAATGTCCCACTGCTCCCCAGACATTAAAGCACTGATGCTTAACTAATGTGCATGCGTGTTAATAGGGAAGTTGTGACAATTGTAAATACTAGCAGTCCTATGTTCACATTTTTTGTCAGGTTCTCTTATCAAACTAGACCTGAGTCAATTATTTTCTGACGCTGTGTTCCTTCTTGTCTTAGAGGGGTCCTACAAAACATTAGCACAAAGTATATTTGTCCATACTTGCAAAACATACGTAAAAACTATGTTTACTTGGGACAAGTGCTTAAATGCTCTTTTTTTCCAATGACATATCAGTCCCTGCCTAATCTAACATCAAAATCCCCCACTCAAGGAAAGTTGTTTGTAAGAAAAAATAAAATTGGGACAATATTTATTTATTCTGATCACAGGCCAAGATGGTGCTATGCAGTTCCCAGGCAGTCACCCACCCAGGCGCTGACCAGACTCAGAGCTGCTTAGCCGTCTGTATAATGCATGATGTTAGCATGGACTAAAATCCATTCCTGGGTGATATCTGAGCTAGACAAAAGCATATACAATTTCCACATTGAGATTGTATTTCTAACCCAGGATATTCACTGAGATTCACCAATGCTATTGGACAAATATAGCCCTCGGCTTGTTTTAAGCAATGTAGAAAATCAAAGCTTTCACATGGTTTGGCCATTAGCAAGATAAATTAAGTGTGCTTTCATGGAAACAGAACACATGCTAGGGAAAAAAATCCATCTTTTCTCTTTCTCCTTCTCCAGTCAAGTAATACTGTAATGGTATATTGAATATTTTGATGGTTTTTGTTCATGAGAAATAATGATTAAATGAGTGAAGAATGGGATATGTTCTTGCTGCATTTCAGTCATTTTGTTAGGCTATGGCATGTCTCGAGTGATGTCTACTTAGCGGAAAGCAGTGCATGTTCTGGGAATTGTTGCTTCTGTAGCAGTTGGAGGGTTCAAAGGTGAAATGGAAGCAAGCATTCCATTCTAGAACCCTTGGGAAAGGGGATGAAAGAAGGAGGGGAAGAAAGTTGGGCTAAGTAGGAAAAGTAAAGGCATGTGAGAGCAGGGAAGTACTAGATGTAATGTGTGAGAGGGGTAGATAGTAAAATTAAATAAGACAAGCCAGTCTTCTTCACTCTTTAGGGTGTAAACAGTGGTGGAAGGATGCACCAGGGGCAGAGAGCAAATACATTCTCAAAAAAAGAAAGTCAGTTGCAGCCTCTCTGGTCTAGATTTGGAGATCATCTTATGGGCTGCCGATTCACTCCCCTACTTCACAAATTGGTGATAAGCAGAGTCAGCTGTACAGCACTATACGTAATGAATTGTGATGGGTAGGGACCCAAGACCCTCCTGATATTGCTGGAATACAGTCACCATCCACACTAACCCATAAGCCCATGTGTCTGAAAGCCAGCTCTAAAGATCATGTAATGTATGTGGTACAGTCCTCCTAGGACTTACCCACCTCAAATGAAACTGTACTATTCCATGTTTTCATGCTCACCCATGTCAAACACATTAATGCACATGGAAAGCTAAGCACGCCGAGGATAAACTTTGTTCCATGCAGTGAGGTGATTATTTCTCCCTTTCACTCATAACATCTGAGCATATAATAAAATGCAAAATCTAGATTCAGCAAGTGAGTCCTGTCAATGGAAGCCCTAAGGGCTTCCACAATGGGGCTTGCTTCCCAGGGCACACTGCGAAATTTGCTCTAGGGAGGTTGGAAGAACCCTCAGAACAGTGCAGCAGGGGAGGAGAAGCTGCACTGTGCCATCTGGAAAGGCAAAAGGCTTGATGAAACAATCGCCTTAGCATTTACATTGATTGTGTGGCTCCTTGGATCTCCCTCATGCGGCTATCAGTGATACAAAAGCAGTTGAAAACAGCTAGGCTGCAAACATATCACATTAAAGATTGGATTAATAGAGCAGAATTTGGGCACTAGATATTAGTAATGAAATATCCACACAATCATGGGTTTTAATGGTTAAGTCGCCAAATGTTTAACCTCAAAAGCAAAAGCTCCATTTTCAGCAGCTTTCCCCCCACCCCATTCAATCTTGTACTTTGCAGGCTTTTAAAAAAATAATAATGAGTTATTCTAACAAAACCCGTAAACCTACAGTGTGGGCTAGTGGTAGTCAAAGAAGGCTTTCTTTACATACAAAAGCTCCAATGTGTATCAGTCCCTAATTCAAATGTTGTTGTTAGGAAATCAATTTACCTATTTTTTAAATGTCTGCTGTTAAGCTCAATAAAATCATAGCTGTTGAATACATAAATGGTTTGTGTCTCAATTATTGTGTCTTAAAATATCTAGTGTAGACATCCAAACACATTGTGATTTCTCCAAACACAACCAGGAATGTTAGAAAGCACTTCATTGGCTCTACCTAACTAACCTAAGAAGGGCTTCCCATGTTATTCAAATTGTACCAAGGCTGAGTGTGATTCCTTCATTACATGGTGTGATCCTGCCATATTCAGAAGAAGAAAAACCTTTGCAGCTTCTTAAAAAAAATTGAACAGGTTGATTTTGAGCCAGCTGTGGATTTGATAATATTTTGTTGGACCAAGTATCACTAACTTAAGCCCCATTGATCTCAATAGGACTAAAACATTACTAGCTTAGGCCGTAACCCTGATCTTATATCTCCCAAGTGCCTCAGGAAAAATGGGACACCCTGCTTTTCCATGCAAGATCATGGCAGCCTAAAAAAAAACCAACCCAAATATCTGAAAAACGTGTTTTTGGGCATCGCATGCAATCACAGCCCTGAAAAAGCATTTTTTGGGGTTCAGAGCATAGTGCAGGTCACGTGACTCACCTGGATGATGCGCGTCCTGGTTTTGGCTCTGGAAAAGTTGGACAATATGTAATCTTTGGTCAGCAGAAGTGGGATTTGATAGATTGCTGCATCCACAGCCCCAGCAGGGCAGGAGGAGGAGAGCGCAAGGAGAAAATGCAACTCCCCATGCTTCAGCAGCTCCTAGGCCTGATTGGGCCCATTGTCATCACGTGATGACAGTCTGCACAGGATCCAGCAGATCCTGTGTCTGCCCCCTAAATGTCCCATGTCAGGAGTTTCCACTGGTGCTGGTGGCTTCTGCCTCCTGTTTGGCAGACGAGAGAACTTTCAGACAGCAATGGGAAAGTATTAATAGTTCTCTGATGGGCTGCTTCTTGTAAGACGATGTAGGGGCAAGGTGCTTAAAGACACCGTTGGATTGGGGCCCTTTGTGAAGTGCTCAAATACTAAAGGCAACAACATACTGCAAACTTCAGAAGCGGCAACATTTGCAAATGTAGTGAAGCCTTCTTCCAGAACTTCAGAAAATTAAGGAAGGATTTTCCTGTTGAACCAGAAGACATGCTGTGTCTCTGATGAAAAACTGTATTGCAACTCTCCTAAACAGGAAATCTGTGACATTGAAATCACACTTTTAAAAAAGGACCCAGTGACCTCATTGTGGTGTAATCGCAGTGGCAGGACCATTGAATTGGCTGGGCCACTAAGCTTCCCATGGCTTGTGCCTCTCAGTAAGTGAGAGTGAAGCTCAGCATTCGGAAACCTGGTGCGCACTGCCGCCTGCCTGTCCCGATCTCTCTGCCACCATCCCTGTTGTCAGCCGCTGGGGAAGGGTGTGCATACAAGTGCTTATATTCTTGGAAATAGCATACAAAAATGCATTGTATGAGAGGAATCTGCTTGTTAGGCTATATGTGCAAAATGTGCTTATTAGGAGAAATTTGCACTAAAATGCTGACAAATTTTCACGAGGGAATTTTTTAAAAATGCAGATTGCTAAGGAAAGGGGAGTAACTGGAAAAATGAGAAACCAAGTTGACAGATTTTGTCCATCCTTGCCTGGAAGTAAGTCCCATTGAATTCAATAGAGTAGACATGGTTAGGATTGCATTGTATGCCTGGATCTATCCAATGAGACATATTTCTCTTGCCGATGGAATGAAGAAGGATAAGAAGTTCGGTTAAATCCTAACTGACATTTCACTTAAAGAAAAATCCTAAGGTTAACTCTCTAATACGATTAAGTTAGAAAGCTTATCTCATTGTAACAAGGGGACAGAGGAAGCTTGTTCCTGGACTACATTATTACTGCTCTGTCATGGACGATGTTACAGGCTATGTGTAGGATATATTATCCCAAATCTGCATAAACACCATACATTTAAAGCACATGGCTTCCCCCAAAGAACCCTGGGAGATGTGGTTTACCCACCACAGAGCTACATTCCCAGCACCCTTAACAAACTACAGTTCAGATTCATTGGGGGAAGTAATCTTTAAAAGTGCTTTAGAGGCAAGATGTGTACCCAGCCTTAGGCATATACACTTTGAAAAGATACCATCTGTCACCCTATTGTTAGCACAAAAGTAGGGTTTCTCTTTAAAAATCCCTTGTAGTTTGTAAGATCCTACGTGAGTTCTTGAGGAGTCAAGACATTTCAGCTAGCGTAGTATATTGCAGGAAGGGTGATCTGTGGAAACCCAGAGGTTGTTAGACTACAAGTCCCATCATGCCTGATCATTGGTCATGCTGGCAGGGAGTGATGGGAGTTAGAGTCTGACCACAGAGGTTCAGGTCCAGGGCTACAGGTTCCCCTCTCTTTTAAATTGAACTCTCTTCTGAGCAAAGCTGCCCAAAATGGACTCTAAGGAGACTACAATCCCACGCACACTTGCTAGGAAGTAAAGACCTACTGATTTAAGTGGAAGCTCCAAGTAAAAATGATCAGGCTGTCAAACTCCAGGAAATGGGCAAAACCTTTTTTAGTTCAAAACACTTTTATTAATTTAATTTCAATTCCAGTTTCAGACAACTGATAGTTTGATTCGCATATGGCTGCAACCCGATACACACTTATCTAGAAGTAAACCCTGTGGGGCTTACTTCAGAGTAGGCATGCATGGGATGGTGCAGCTGCTAAATGCGTTTGAAGTACGGTGAACAGTGGTCTGAATGATGATTGGAATTGTCATTGTGGCTTTATTGGTTTTATTGCATTTATTTTACTAATGTAACCCACCTTGGGCTTTCATGTGAGAGAAAACGGCAGAAGAAAATCGGGAAAGGCAAAGAAATTTTCCAAACCTGAATCCCATGGCTTCTTGGGAACCAGCTGCAACCCGGTGGGTGCAGCTATTGGCTGGCTTTGGTGGGGTGACTGCACATTTACATAAGTCCCAGTTCACAGGGGTTGACTTTAACCCTCCTGTCGTTTGGAGAAACAGTTATGTGACAGCACAAAGTCCAGCTGCCTTGACAGCTGGGGTGACCGCTCCATTTCAGTGGTTATTATCTGCTCTTTATCAGCCAGATAAATAACCCAATAGGCCTTGTTTAAACACCTAACAACTGAAATCATGCCCAGGCACAGTCAAGGAAAATTGATCTCCTGCTCCAACAGATAATGATGGTACAAGGGACAGTGCCATTGGAACCACCAGCAGCACATCCTTGAGCATCTCAAGCGTTGGCCTGGATTTGTATCTTCCCAGCCTCCAAGCTCACACACGTTTTGAATTATTTACTTCCTTCTGAAGCTGGTTTTAGATAGCACCTTTCAGCCCTTAAAAGGGTCTGAGGTGGCTTCCTATTATAAACATAGCAAGCAATTTAGAGAATATTTAAAAATCCAAGAGCATGAAAACAGCACATTGAAAACCATCAGAAGCGCAACAGGGAGAAAATAGGCACAAAACACATGGCAACATAGAATGGTTTTCACAGAACATCTAAAAGCTGTAAGAAAAGGAATCTCCCTAGAGTTGGAGTTCCACAACCTGGGTGCCAGAACCGAAAAAGCCCCATCATATGTCCCCGCAACTGCACCACTGAACATGGCAGAACATGGAGCTTATTTCTTCTCCTAATACAGAATCTTCCATCCACGTGGAAACTTGCTTTCTCTTTCCCTTACTGTTGTAATTAACATTGCCATCTACCAGAGTTCTCCAGCTTGGAGGACATAAGGTACCCTGTTGTTGACCCTGGGGGCAGCACTCACTAGAGACAATGCAGCATTTGCCAGGCTGACCTCATGAGGAACAAAACTAGAATGCTGTTTGCAGGTAGGAGAAAGGAGGAGGGTTACAGTGAAGTACTAAGGCACTAGCATGGGAGACGCTGCTGCAGGGCCATGCCCTAGGTCTAGTGTTAAAGCCAAAGGTGCCGTCTCTGAGTCAATAGCTGGTCATCCTCCCTGTGCACTGTGAAGAGGCACAAGAGGTAGATTGGCTTCACAAGGCACATTTCAATTACTTCCTGTGCTGCACAGCTGAATCCATATTACTTTCCCCTTGCACAATAGTAATAAACTGACTAACGATTTCCCCTTCCAACTCTACAATTCTGAATCTATTATTCCCCTTTCATACCACTCAATATCAGCTGCCTGAGGTGGCTACCTCATTCTGCCCAGTGGCAGGGCCGGCCCTGGAAAAGGAAGCTCATTTACTTCCATTCTTTTCCTATGAGAGACTGAACAATGGATATCATTTAATTGTTCTTTGTCTTTGTTTTCAAGCAGTTTGTTATTTATTATGCCATTTCCTTCAAGAGGTTGCATTTCCCTCAAGAGCAGCCACAGCTGCCAAAGGTGTGGATTGCATTGCTTTTGGGCCTCTTGTGGGGAGTGGGTCAAAGTGCTCGGTGTTATGTTCAAGGAAAAGATAAATCATTCAAAAGGGCCAATCACCTTTTGTTCTGGACTGAAAACTGGGTTTTGCTCAGCTTTGGAATAAAATGCCACACTTTGTGCCTTCTCCATTCATAAATGAACGTTCTTTTCTGCAAACAGAATCTTAGTTGAGGGCCAAGACAAGGCATACATAAAAAAAGGCTTACGGGTTTTGAACACTCATTGTTCCTTCATGAATGTACCTGTGTCAATTTGCTCTGATACGCTACAGGCACACGTATATCCAAAAGAGAACTAAAACACACATTCAAGGTTCGGTCTTTTTTAACATGTACACCTGTCTTGGCCTTCAGTTCACCCTAAATAGCAGCACCCATGCCTCTGTATCAAAGATGGCCATCGGGGAGTCTACAGGGAAACAATTTTGGTTTCTCTCAGTTCCCCATTTCCCCCAAGTTCAAGTTCAGTTCTTCATATTGCTGCATCAGTTTGCTGAATTTTTCAACAAAAAACATCAACAAATAAACTGTGAAACTTCATCAGTGACTGCCTACTCTACACTTTTTTTTGCCAGCCCTTCCCCCTAATAAAATCCATTTGTGTATGCTTTTCTCACTA